ATCTATCTATCTATCTATCTATCTATCTATCTATCTATCTATCTATCAAATAATCGCCAAATTAAAGAACTCATCCTGAATGAGGCGGGGTCTGTAAGGGAAACAGTAGGGTCTCTTATTTTATTGGCCAACTGTCCTGCCTATCACTCTTACACTCAGCTTCTGCAGGTGCAAAGCTGCTGCTGAGCAGGAGTAGCCGTTGCAGGGAAGCCGAAGGGAAAATACACATTTCATGGTAAACCCTGAGCTAATTTGTCATCGCATTAAATAAGTAACAAAGAGCACAGGGGTTATTGAATGCAATATGTTCTGGCATTTAGATAGAAATAAGTTTTTAACAACCAAGAGTAACCTTCATTTGACATAGAGTGGATGCTTAGCTAGCTCCTGCTGTTATATTTGAATACTGGTAACGGTAGTTGTATTGTATTAGCATCAAATGTAGCCTTATTAGTACACACGGATGACTTTTTTAAAGCTTAATGCAGCTGTTTTATATATATTATTTTTATTTGCCGTTGTAACGAATCGCATTGTATTGTATTTTCCCGTTTTCTTTAGCTAACCTATACATGCTTCCAGTTTCAGATGTTCATAAAGTCACTTCAAGCCAAACCATTGTTATAGATTAGCGGTTAAAGTCGTCTTAATTTAAACCCTGTGATACTTAAAAAGACATCAGAAAAATTATAAATTCTATTATACAGTGTCTTAAGGGCTTATCGGGCACATTCTTACTAGACACGAGCATTCATAATTGGCTGGCCAGCTTGCTCTACTGAGGTTCCCAGCCCTTGCTGGATGGGAGAGGATAGTCAGTTTAGCCGATGCTTAGCCTGTTAAGCTCTAGTACTTCCGTCCTCTTATCTTTTATCAGGTGTTCGCTTCTTCTCCGAACAGGACGTTGAAATACTCCAAACTATGAGTAAATAGCGGCTTATTATAGGGGCATAGCGAATTGTTTGATGGTTGAAGCAGTCGGTCTCTTCATAGAATTAGGTTATCCGAGTGTTTAGGAACCATATGTGAGCATACATGTCAATATTGACTTGGTTATTTCTCGTTTCTGTGCAACGCTGAACGACTGGGTTAAATGTCAAGATGTTTCTATTTTTTCTGTATCAAGCTTCGTCGTCTAAATATACATTACATCTTGGGATTTAACTTTCATAACTGCATTATGCCTGAAAGTTTATACAGTGATTTTGAAATGGGGAGAAATAGCCTTTAACTGATATTATTAATTTTACTTTTATTTAAATAACCCTCACAAGGCAGTTTCTAATTAGGTTTAAAATGATAACTTTCAAAGATTGCTGGAAATTACAATGGACTATACAAAGGTGTTCAATCTTATCTGGAATTGGATCATTTCCCGAACATCCTTTTCTGATCATTAGACTACATTATAATCTTAGGGAGGGCTTTTTATTTTTAGGTGTACACATTTAATGTTTTTCTGCACAAAACATGTTTCCGCTTCTTGCAAAAAGGTTTTGCTTGACAACAAAGGCACTGTGTTCAAAGTGATAGACTTTAGTTGATCACAATATTGTGCTTATAGGCAGTCATGCGTTATAGTCATATTTTCTTTACCTACACGTTTTCAAAAAGACTTTGATACTTTTGTAGCTGATTGGTACTAGAGGTGTTTTCGGAGTGCATTTTTGTTCAAATAAGATTATTCAAACATCCCAACTCTTGCTTATAACTGGTAATCTCTACTCATTCATAGATGGCGTCTGCAAATGTCACATATGGACAGAAGGAGTCTTCAGACCAGAACTTTGACTACATGTTTAAAATCCTCATCATTGGAAACAGCAGTGTGGGAAAAACCTCCTTCCTCTTCCGCTATGCAGATGATTCATTCACACCAGCCTTTGTCAGTACTGTTGGCATTGACTTCAAGGTTAAGACCATCTACAGAAATGACAAGAGGATAAAGCTGCAGATTTGGGTAGGTATAACAGATGTAAAGTTGTAAATACCTAATCTTTTTGCCAGAGCAGACCGCAAATTACCATACAGACTGTTCTCTTGTTGCTGACACTTTGAAGTCATTCAGTATAGAGAAACAGGTAATTAGACTGAATTTTCTTTAGTTTGCTTATTGCCTTTTTGCTTTGATGAGGCTGTGATACTTAGATATATTTACAAGTTATTTTTTAAAGTCAAGAAGCAATAGATAAGGGTAAAAGATCCACAGTCCATTACTATCACTCATGCTATATCATGGTTGGGATGGCTGCGCCCTGAGAGGCTGCGGCTGTATACAGCTCCCGCCAACTCACGGTAATTTTTTGCTTATTTTTTAATTATTACTTATTATTATTTATTTATTTATTATTTCTTTATTGTATTGTTGTTGTTTTTTAACAAAAATATGCCGCAAAGCACGATACAGACTACTCATCAACCCAGTGGATCGATGCTTGACCACTAACGGCTGCTGGAGTTGCGGTCATGTCGTGTTTTTGGACTCCAAACTACAACTACTACTACTCTCGGTTGTTTGTGCGGCTTCGGACTGCTTCGGGCACGGGTCCCACGGCCCATGGGGCAGCAAGCGCCGGAGGAGGAGCAGGCGAGGGCAGTGTGACTGGCAGCGGAGGCAGCTGAGGCTGTTGCGGTGGTTTAACAACTAAGCTAAAAGCTAACCCGTACAGAACGCCGCTCCCAACCATCCTGCTTTCCAACGTCACTGGATGGCAGAGAGGAACATCTCACAGAGGTGCTTGTGCTTACTGTGGAGCATGAGGAGAGCCCACCTGCCCCCGTCCATCCTCACAACCTTCTGCCGGTGCGCCATGGAGAACATTATGACCAGCTGTCTCTCTGTGTGGTGCGGAGGCTGTGTCGCCTCCGACTGGAGGGGCATGAGGAGGGCGGTGTGGACAGCGGGGAGGATCATCGGGGCTCCTCTTCCCTCCATCCAGCGCTGCGTGTCCCCAGCCTATGGCATCTGGGAAGAGGTTTTGCGGAGTCCGCTGTGGGTCCACCAGGCTATTCATCAGCTTTTGACCTGTTGCCATCAACTGTTGGATTGTTTAGTTCTGTTCTTGTCGTGGGTTGTATGTAAATTAAATTTCGTTTGTGAGCACTCCGTGCATGCAAAATGACAGTAAAAAGTTGTCTAATAATTTGAACTGTTGGGAAATAATTACATTTTCTTACATTACAGCAGTATTAAAAACATGTTAGCTGTACATCTTTGAATCAGTATGGCTTAGGCTGCAGACTTCACTACAAAACGGTAATTACTCAATGGTTTATACAAATGGCCATTGAAGTGTAGATATAACACTTAATTTCTATGAATGAAAGTATTGAAATCCAAATATATGGCATAAGTATATATCTCTGATGTTATTCTACATCTGTAATGGTGATAGTTAGCCCTGATTTTCACCTCCAATTAATTTGCTATATTTGTTAAATTATTTGTGTGTGTTAGATTGAAAACTAAAATATATATTTTAGAATTCAAAGGGATATCTTCAGATATATAGCTAACTTGAGCCAAGTACTAAAAAATGAAATCAGATCACTTCAAAGTACCCATTTGTGATCAGCACATCTTTGACTAATCCAGGCCATCTCATCATGGATCTGTGATAATTAACACTTGTTCAACACTAGCTTTTTGGTTTCCAGGTTTACTTAATTGTCTATGTAATGGAAATAGCTTTATTCAAGCTTAATGCATATCATAAAACCTGACCTTGGTACCACTTGCTTATTTCATTAGTACTTAAGCAAAAACTCACAGGAGTTGAAGTGAATGCCACAAATTCTTTGCAGGTGCAGGGTATGGTAGTGGGTCTGTTTTCACTTTGTCACTCTTATGTGCAGGATACTGCTGGGCAGGAGCGCTACAGGACAATCACCACAGCATACTACAGAGGAGCCATGGGTTTCATCCTCATGTATGACATTACCAATGAGGAGTCCTTTAATGCTGTGCAAGACTGGTATGGACCAACTGTGTGTGTATGTGTTGGAACATGGAGGTTATGATCTTATTTTGTCGTATATGTATTCAAGGGAGTGTGAGATGCTGCAGTGTCACGAGACTATTAGATTGTCAGCAGAATCAGAAACTTTGCGGACCAATAAACAAATAAATAATTCAATAAGCCACTGATAGCGTAAATACATCTTTCAGTGAAAAAAATAATTGAAAACACCAAGGTACAGCAAGAAAAAGTATAGACAGCTTGAAGGAGTACATTTAAGTTTTTTGAAAGGATCATCATGGGAAAACAAGCCAAAGTTTGTCTGCAGGTATATTCATCTGGTGCAATGTCGCCTACTGGCAAGGAATTTTCATTTCAATAACGAATTGTCCTGTTTCGACACATTTGTCCCTCTTAGAGAATCTCCATAGAGAATTTCAGGTGCTACGTGGGTCTTTGGAGTTCAGATAGGAACCATTGTAGATGTTGGTTGCAGAGAATACAACCTTCAGGGAATTGATGAAATCCATCACTGAGGGGAATGAGCTGAATTTCTTAGGAAAACAAACAGAACAATAAAAACCAAAGAAACAATCATTGACCTCCAGATTAGTAGTATGTGTTCTCTAGAATCTCTGAGCAAACAGATACAAGACTAAAGAATTTTATCCAAACTCAATTTAAGATTCTGGGAGACAGTGAAATGCATCACTTTCCACTGAGTACACCACGTGGGAGGGAAGATGTGTAAAGTCCTGGTGTGTCATTTCTGCTCTTGCCAAAAGGAGGAAAAGTTGCATGAGGTATATATAGTGCTCCGGTGATAATGAGCAGGAGAGCATGGGGTACTGTGTCTGCAACCTGGTCACTCCGCCATGGATCACTCGCATCGCACACAGCGGTGGCGTCTGCCGAGGGAGGGGATGCAAACACCGAGCACGATCACTCGTCCAAACTCTCGTAGGAGATCGTACGGTCACATGCCTACCGCCTGTAGCTCCACATCCGAGGAGCATATCTGTTCCTTCACGTGAACATGAAGCCCTGCTACACCATATCTCACTCACAAACATCGCTAGTCCCCCTCCTTTCCTTTTTCTACTCTCCGCCAAAGTCCTGTCTGTGCGGATGAGTTTAAAGCCATCAAGGGAAACCACTGAGTCCGGGACAATTCATTTAACCACGTCTCCGTGAAACAAATTATCCTAGCATCCCTGTACCTCCCCTGGAAACAGGTTAGTGCTGCAAGCTCCTCAGACTTGTTGGGAAGAGATCTTACGTTTCCCATGACAACGGATGGTAAATAACTTTTCCTCTGCTTCATCCTGCCACCCCTGCAGCCTCTCCGTTTCCTCAGTATGTCTGCAGGGATGTCTGCAAGGATGTGCACATAGAGTTTCGAAGTCCAAGGAGCTGGTTCCGCATGTAAACAGTGGGACTAACAGGACAAACGTCCGGAGTCGCAGACAAAGGGGTCTCCCCTAACAGCATAAAAAATGCTGAAAGTAAGAGAAAGCTCAGGACTACAGTCCCAAAAGTTCTCTTCCTCTTTGCACATACAATCAGAAGACCGGATACAGTTTTCACTAATAGAAAAACACTCCAAAAAACACTATAAAGAAGAGAAAGTAGGAAAAGAGCCGACGTAACGAGCTGCTCGTGCGCAGTGCCATGGCAAAAAAATGAATAAATTCTGCACCTAGCAATGGGCACATCATGCCTACCTGGGAACTAGGCCAGTGGCATTTAGTTGTGGGCTAGCCCACTACATTTGACTGTCTGGCATGCTTAGCCTAGCTGTCCTCGGTGCTGGGGAGGGACGCTTCTGGTTGGGTTTGGTAATAGTGTGGCTAATGGGGCTTGGGTTGCGGTATCGGGCTATGTGTGGGAGACACCCATAGAGGCCATCCATAGGATGTTTTCTACAGATATTGCAGCTGGTTGTATGGTTTTGTTGTCTTTCTCTCTCTCTCACTCTCTCTCCATGTCTTTTTCTGAGTGGCTTTTTTTTATCGGCTCTCTTTCTTTCCCTGTCCTCTTTCCCCTTTTTCAGATATGATATTATTTAGTACATGTAAATATTGTAACAACAATAAATAAAACAGCAGTATTTGATAATAATCAAAGGGGGCTTTTCATCCATAAAGGTTCCATTGGCAAAGCGAAAGTGTTTGGTGTAATGTGGTATTACAATTCTACTGCCATGATGCTTAACAGGACAAAGAAATAAAAATTAATCCAACTCTCCTTCCATCCTTTTTTTATATCAGGGACTTGAAACGTATGGAATCAGAGAAGAAGTTAGGTTTTGGTTGCATATCCAACTGATGGGCCAACTTGCTTTTTCTGTCTTTGCTCTGAGAGATTTCCTATCAACTTCAGCTATAAACTTCATAAACACTCTGGGTTGTTTCCTGTTCAAAGCGGTGCTGCCTGTGTTGTTCCCTTCTTTTGATCTAATCTACCGCGATTGACAAAAAAATATTACATGGAGGTCTTTGGTAGTAAATCCAGCAAACATAGTTGCTTCTAGGCTCACTGGAAAAGCACAAGCTTCCGGAATTCTTGATGGAGGGACTCCAAGTTGGTTCACTAGTCTTACAGGGGAATTAGTAGTTTTGTCCTTTTTACAGATGATTTTTTATGGCTGATTGTGGAACATCTGTCATTTATCAGTGTCCTTGGCAAGTAGATCAGCATCTATGTTGTGACTACTAGGATGATACGTGGCAAAAGCTGCAAGCCAACAATGTCTGACTGCATTTAATTTTGTCGTCATCAAAACATATGTTAAGGGACTGTTGTCTTTTCACACTGTAAACTTAGTTGGGGTGGGAATCTTTTACTTTCTTTCGATCCAGATTTTTGGGGCCACGATTAGAACCAAAATCGGTGTTGATTCAAAACGATGAGATTCATTATGTTTTTGCTTCAGTTTATAGGCGTGTGAAAGATCCTCATCTACTTCAGTTTGTTTTGCAAGACAGAATGACAAATGGAGTGGTTCAGGTGTATTTTTCACATTTATTAACTTTAATCCATGCTTAAACTGAATTTTTTTTACTGTAATATAAATGAAATATTCCAAGTGGATTAAATAACAAAAGTAACATTTCCTATGCAAAACAAAAAAATGGTACAATTAAATGTGAACTTTTCATGAAAGTGCATCTTGCAACAATAGAAATGTCCACAGCTCTGCAATTAATTGTATGATTTTCAACAAATCAAGAAAAAGCACATGAACTGGTCCAAGATTACTGTCATTTGCAGGTGCAACATGCAAGATATTTTGTAAGAAAAGTTGCAGATCCGTGTGCTGGAGTTAGACCACTTTGCTGTTCTGTCACTATATTCCTAGCAATAGAGAATAGTCTTGTAGCTGCAACACAAGTACCAGGGATACACAAGTGGAGTTTGGTTTGTCTAGACAAGAGAGGTAAAGTTGCATCATGGGTCCTTTACTAGCTGAGGGGATTCTCTAACCGAAACAGTGGAGCTCCTCTTCAGCTTTGGTGCTTGCAGTTTTATGGACACCACTGACCTCAATAAATGTGTTTCCTGATAAAGTAACCAGTGCAGAGGGCCTTCTTTTTGGAGCAGGGCCCTGTTCTGGGTCTGGTTGTGGTGTCTCAGACATGTCCTCAGCCTTCTCTGAGGTCATATGACTCCACAGAAAAAAGTACAACAATAATATCAGTCATTATGTCCAATATAATCACACCAGTCCCTCATTTTTTTGTAAAATTCATTTTATATCTATATATGCAACCATGCAAGATGGGTGTATGAGATGGCATCATTTACATTTGACCCACATCATTATCCATTTTTAACATGTAGAAATGTGTTAATCAGTTTACAAAAAAATTATATTGTTTAAGAACAGGGACTTTACCTCAAGTGCTTGTGCCTCTGCAACTACATTTACATGGACTTCCAGCTTGCCTTCCTTTGTGAGGAAAATCAGGGCCTTGAATCTGGGGTCCAGAAAGTCTCAATGCCAGCTTCAATGCCAATTGCCTCTGTATTGTACAGCAACTGAGGATGCAAAGGAGCAATAACTGACTATAGCTGTAGAAACCTCTGACATAATGTGAGTTACATCTTTCATTGGTTTAAGTTCTGATGCTATTTCCTGAGCAGTGGAGATGTCCACATCATTGAGTGTGCAGATGTCGTTTCCAGATCTTCTCGCCTGTGCGGAGAGGAGTACAGCACAAATAGCAGGTCGCTGCTCTAGGAATCGCTCATCGCACTGTTCCAGCGTGTAGCGACATCCTTTTTCAGTTTGTGCACTGGTAACTGTAGAGTTTTCTGTTTGTCCTGCAGTTCATGATTTGCGAGCGTGCTACTGTGATTCGCCTGATCCTCCAAAGTAGTTGCAACACTGTAGTTGGCTTCAGAGCTTGCTGAGCAGTCAACTTGAGAGGGCACATATTTCACCTGTGGAAAGGACTAAACAAGCTATATTTTGAAATTTCGACTTGCCCCACACTTCAAAGACAAACAGATTTCTGCAGTTAACAAAGCAGGATCTTTTGTGTTGATGTTCAATGACAATATGAACCAGTCAACTTGCAACATTAAAGAAGAATCTGTTGAGGCCCAGAACCTAGTCTGTGATCATTAGAGCATGTGGAGGCATTTTCAAAGTGTACCTCACAAAGGGAACTGCTGATTTTTGAAGCCTCAGTCCAAACAAGATGCAGAATGAAATGATTTGAAGAAAAGAGTAGGACGAAAGAGGGTGCCATGGGAGCTGGGAGAACTGAAAAAGAAAAAGGCAGTGTTGACGGAGGTGTGCACCAGTACTCTGAAGGATGCTGAACAACTAACTGAGAAAGCTGAAAACAAATCTGTCACAATCCATGTTAGTCTACCTGCAACGTCAGCACCTTATTCCACATTAGGGCAGCTCGGATGGTGTTGAAGGCAGAAGAGAAGTAAAAAAACGTGATTCTCAGATTGCTTCCCAGATTGTCCTGATGGGTGCAGGTGCGATGGAGCAGGAAAATGATGGCATCGTCCACACCTAGTTTCGGCTCGTAGACAAACTGAAGAGGGTATATTGATCTGACCTGTGGCCAATGGAATCAGGCTGACACAATCAGGACATGGTGCTTTGCCTGGGTGGAGTATGCACGGCTCCTTCCTCACATCAGCTGTGAAGCGTTCTGTGTGTGTTGGTGGGGGTGGACGGAGGTGATGGTGTGGGGGAGAGACAAGGTGGGGCAGAGTCAGGGGGGTACGATGTGGGAGCAGGGATAGCATTGCTGAAGGATTGAGGGTGGATGGTTTTGGAGGAGTCCTCTTCCGATTTATTGAAAAACAGATTCAGCGTCTAGCCACCAGATTGTTTGTAGCCAGTGATGGTCCTCATGCCACTGCATATGTCTTTCAAGTTGTTCTGCTGGAGTTTGTGCTCCAGCCTCCTTCTATAGCTGTCTTTGCCCTGTCGGATCTTCGCGTTAAGCTCCCACTAAACCCACCTGCTCTCTTTATCTATCCCTGAAGGCCCTCTTCTTCCCATCCAGCAAGACCTTGATGTCCCTGGTGACCCATGGCTTATCAGGGAAACAGCGTACAGTCGCTGTTGGAACAACACTGTCCACATAGAAGTTTATGTACCCTGTAATGCAGTCCTTTAGATCATCAAGGTTCTCACCGTGAGAAACAAAGAGTAACCCTCAGTCGGTTTGTTCAAAGCAGCCCTGCAAAGCCGCGTCACTCTCCTGTGACCATCACCTCACAGTTGTAGTGGTCACTGGTAAGCGCTGGATAATATACTTATACAGGGGCTATAGGGGGATGAGGTTGTGGTCTGATCTTCCAAGGGGAGGAAGGGCAGTGGCGCTGTCAGCCTCCTTATCATTGGCATACAGCAGGTCTCTTCTCTTGTTTTCCCTGGTGGGACAGTCCAAAAACTGCTTGAAGTTGGGCATTGTTGGAGCCAGAATTACATGATTGAAGTTCCCAGATATGGCTATGAATGCATCAGGGTTCTGTGACTGGAGTTTTGTGACAAGATAGCAAGTCCCCCACTTTTCCTCTTGCCACTCTTGCAATGTTTCCTGTCTGCCCAAACTGTCTGAAAGCTGTACACAGTTACGTTTGAGTTGGGGATGTCCTCATGGAGCCATGACTGAGTGAAACACATCACCCTACTCTCGTGGTACACCTGCTGAGTCCTCACCAGGCCTGCCATCTCATCCATCTTGTTAGCTAGCTAGCTCACATTCCCCTTGACGATAATTTTATATCTCTGCTTCTTCTCCTGTTTACGCCCAGCCGTAAATTGGTACTTCCTCCTTATCTCTCTGGGCATTTCAGGTCATTCCTGTATCAGCACGGCCATTGTAGTGACACCACCTGATCTCCAGTATAAACAATAGCAAGGCCACAATGTTGAGTCCAGATGGCGACACTGTCAAGAAAAATTGACGAAAGAATGAGCCACATTGACAAAAGACATGAAAAAAAAAACTCCCAAACCTGTAGGCTAAGGTTAGCACAACCACTTACTTAAAAAAAGTCAGTGATTACAAATGATAAATAAGAAAAAAAAGCCAACTGTTTTTTTATTGTAGAAAAACAAATCCCAATCCAATTGAGCTTTCTTTGCATTGATCTAAAACTATTTTAAATGCTGTGAGATTCATGCTGTACTGCTTGTCATCTTTATCTTCTTACAGGTCCACCCAGATCAAGACATACTCTTGGGACAATGCCCAGGTCCTTTTGGTGGGGAACAAGTGTGATATGGAGGATGAGCGAGTGGTGGCTGCAGAGAGAGGCCGGCAACTCTCAGAACAACTTGGTAAGTCTGTTGGGCTTAGTTCAAACTTGATTATTAATCTCTGCTGTTGTTGAACAAAAGAATGCTGTCTCTCTCTCTCTTTTATTCCTTAGATCTGCTATCCAACGTGTGTTATTAAGTGGGATTGTTTTATCCTGTAAATAACCTTCAGAGGATATTAATTTAATTATATTTAATTTGTACGCAGTTCCTTTTATAAAAGTTCCTTTACTTTACATTCACTTTCATACAGTTAACTTTGATTGAAGGAAAAAATAAAACATGGAACTCAAAACTATTTCAGTTGCTGAACATTCTGGCTTTGTGGAATCATATTTTGATAATGTTGAAATATGAAGTAAAAGAATTATTATTATTACTAACTTTTTTACAAATGGTTTTGATTTTCCGACATCTTGAACTTATTTAGGCACGGATTAACTAATAAAAAACATTATTCATTATCAGTCAGGTTCCAACTTTCTGATACATAAATCGATATATCAAATTGTCTTGGAGCTTCTTTTTTTTTTTAATTCAATATTGTTTTTGATCCAATTAGAAACATATTTTTCTGTCAAATTAAAACCCAGCCTGTGTGCCAACCACATTACTGATTTGGTGCCTTTCCTTGGAAAAGCTTATGTGCTTTTTTTTCCTAAGCAATGTGAATGATCATACTAAAAAAATAACCTAACCATCAGCAATATTAATTTCTACAAACTAAATAGGAAAGTTTCAGTGTCCATCGGCACATTTACTGCAGAGATACTGTCTTTCATCTCCCCTAGTTCCTTACTTCAACTTCATATCAGTGATTCAGAAAATTTGCTTATCTTTGTAACTTGGTTTGAATATGCACCAAACAAAGTTTCTGGCATCATTTTCTAGTCCAAGAAAGATTCATGCCTTAAATTTCAATTTCATCCAATCACAGTATTGTGCTTTTGTTTATTTTCAAAATAAAAATTACCAAGTGATTTCCAGGTTTCTAATTACATCTATATTTAGAATGATTAATTTATTTCAAGGCATGTCTTTCAAAGCCAGATTGTTCAGCCAATTAAATAAATTTGTTTAATGTCTTATTGTTTTCCAAAATAAAAAAAGGAAAGTACTTTCTCCAAATAAAGTGTTTTCTTGCTCACTTGATTCTTACCCAGCTGCATATGTTAGGTTCAAGGGAAATTAACACATTGGCCTTTAATAGGCAACCTACTGAAACATAAATGGTGTTTTTTGGAGTTTTTAACAGAGCTTGACTCAAACATATAATATGACCTGTGAAATCTGACTGTAGCCTGAACAGTTCTAAGTATGATGTGGTAAATAGATAAAGTCTACAAATTTACATTTTCAGGTTTTGAATATTTCGAAACAAGTGCTAAAGACAACATCAACGTGAAGCAGACCTTTGAGCGACTGGTAGACATCATTTGTGAGAGGATGGCAGAAAGTCTGGATAACAACGACCCAACTATCACTGGGGCAAAGCAGGGCCCACAACTCAGTGAGCAGCCCCAGAGGTCTCATCAAGACTGTGCCTGTTAAACACAACTGGCCACACACAAACCACCCACCACTGTTGGAGGATTGCTTACTTTTATTATTTCATTCATGAATTTTACTGCAGAAACACTGCCATATACAGTGCCCACCACAATTATTGGCACCCTTGTTTAAGATGTGGTTGAGGAATTCTCCTTTTATTTAAAACAACATAGAACTTCAATGGAAACAATGAGAAAAATCCAACCTTTTATTTAAGTACATTACTTTGGAGTTAAAAATAAAACACACATTTAGAAAATTAAAAGCGTGAAATCATATGTCCCACAATTATTGGCACCCCTGACACTTACGCTGAAAATGTACATGTATTTCCTTTGAATGTATTTTTCTGTAGTTGCAAAAGTTGGCCTGGGTATCTAGGAACTTTTAATAAGTCATTCATGACTTCCTATTTTCCCTGGGATATAATTATGACGTGACACAGAGGCCTAATTCTCTTACCCATTTGTCAGCATGGCAAAGACAAGAGAACACACCATTCAAGTAAGGTAGATGTTTGTTGACCTTCTCAAGTCAGGCAATGGCTACAAGAAAATAGCCACTCACCTTAACTTGCCGTATCTACAGTCAGAGGAATCATTAAGACGTTTAAAACAACTGGAACAGTGACAAACAAGGCTGGAAGAGGTCCAAAGTTTATCTTGCCACAACACACAGTTAGGAGGATGGTGAGAGAAGTAAAAACAAGTCCTAAGCTCACTTTCACAGAATTTAATCAAAAAGTGGAATATTGGGGTAAAAAATTCTCCAAAACAACCATCAGATGCTCTCTACATTTCAACGAGCTGTTTGGGAGGTATGCAGGGAAAAGCTTTTTCTCACTAACATTCACAAGCATAAATATCTGGAGTTTGCTAAGCAGCACTGGGACTGCAACTGGGATGGTGTGCTTTGGTCAGATGAGACCAAGATTGAACTTTTTTGCAACAAACACTCTAAGTGGGTTTGGCATAAAACAAACTATGAGTATGCCGAAAACCACCCCATGCCCACCGTGAAGTATGGTGGAGGATCTGTGATGCTGTGGGCCTGTTTCTCTTCTAAAGGCCTTGGGAACCTTGTTAGGGTGCATGGCATTATGAACGCTTTAAAATACCAGGACATCTGAAATAGAAACCTGATGCCCTCTGGCCGAAAGCTGAAGATGGGTCGTCATTGGGTCTTTCAGCAGGATAATGATCCAAAACATGTGGCAAGTCTACACAAAAATGGTTCACTAGTCACAAAATCAAGGTCTTCCCTTGGTCATCTCAGTCCCCAGACCTCAACCCAATTGAAAACCTGTGGGGCGAGCTAAAGAGGAGAGTGCATAAGAGAGGACCCAGGTCAATGGATGATCTAAAAAGATTATGCAAAGAAGAATGGTCAAAGATCCCTCTCTCTGTGTTCTCCAATCTTGTGAAATGTTATAGGAGGAGATTAAGTGCCATCTTGTTGGCAAAAGGGGATTGTACAAAGTATTAACATCAGGGGTGCCAAAATTGTGGGACACATGATTTCACATTTTGTATTTTCTAAATGTGTGATTTTATTGTTACCACCAAAGTAATGTACTTAAATAAAAGGTTGGATTTTTCTCTTTTTTGCATTTGGGTTCTATGTTGTTTTAAAAAAAAAAAGATGAACCACATCTAAAACGGCTGTAAATAATTGTGGAGGGCACTGTATAGACTGACATGAGATTACTTTTTCAATTTTACACCTCACATTACCCAGACCTTTGTCGATATGAGGCAGTTTTCCCCTTATTTTCAGTACACTTATTTTCAAAATTTTTATTCCCACTGAAAATATCTTTATTGTGGTGAATAGACTTTTTTTGGGAGTAGGTCAAGTCTGTTTCTTGGCATGTGATATCATCTTCAAGTATTGTGAACTTTCTTAAAGATATCCAGGTTTGTTTTTCAAACAGAGTTACTTGGAAGTTTTACTTTCTTTTTTTACTGAAAAGTTGTTCATGCCAGTTTTCTAGTCAATGAAATGAAGCCCCCATAAGAGATGTTTAAATCAATTAATTTAACACTGGATAATAGTGTTTGATTATTGGTCTTGCAAGCGTAGACTCTGGGCCAATCGATTTTGGAGTTTTTTGTATTTATGTTTATTTATTCATTTAGTTTACTTATCATTTTTAAAACATTTAACTAAAATAGGAAATAGATGTGTATTTTGAACTAAATACAATATTATTGTAAAATGAAAATAATATAATAAGAATCATTTAGGATATTGAATTCCTTCCTGTGCTGTACTGAGAGCTGCATGTTTGTGTTTTTAACCTGTACTGGTTGACTGGATTTATATTTATATGAGGTGTCTGAATTGAAAACATGTCTATCCCACAGTTTAGTACTGTGAATGAATGACCAAATGTGGTCAAAAGTTTCAGATATTGAATCTTTGGTCCCTTCATTCAAATCATACAATGTGCAACATACACTCACCAGCATGTGATCTCACATCTTGGACTTCCTGATCATCTTCTAGTCTTGTAAATTATAGTTCCATCTTTACTTTTGGTGGAATATGTTGATATTTTAAGCATGTTACATGTCAGATTGTGAATATTACTTCTCTTTCTGATGCTAAGATGTGAGACACGTCAGCTCTATGATTCAGTGAAAACATTCTGTTTTTCATGCTGTCAAAAATTTGCAGATGAATTAAGCAAAAGTAGTTTGCCTAATTCTTTATGTTGTATTATTTATCATTTCATTTGTTTTTCAAGTAGGTTTCATAGATGACTGTCCAATGTGCATTGACTGTTTCAAAGAGATGTTCAATTGTATTCAATAGCTCAAGCTGTCCCAGCTTTTAAATTTGGAACGTTAGTATTGTACAGTGCAAAACATAGGATGTTTCTTCTAGGCAAAAGTTAAACAACTTGCATGGACCAATTATATGCACATAGCTTTTGTGATAAGTTTGTCTTTTCATAAATGTTATGCCACTGTTAAAACTTTGGGGAATAAAAGCACATTGTTCTCAGTATTTGTATCTTCATTTGAATTTTAGAACAACACACAAGTCAACTTAGGGCTTCTTACACAAGCATTCATCTGGGCATGTGTGAACAGATTTCATAGTTGCAGTTTTAAAAAAAGGAAAAAAAGAAACTCATTAAAGGTACAAAAGATTGCTTGATAGACATTTGTATTAGGACAGTAAAATTAAACCTGTGTCGTGTGTTTCCACACTGCAGTAGCTTTAAACTTGGCAAGTGTTTTTGGTTTTAACTGAACTCTGAACTTTTAACTAAGAAATTGAATAATGTTTTGGATCATGTTTAAGCTGTCAACTGAATGTTTTCTTGTCCAGGTTTATTGTTTGTTTTTGTTTGTTTTCTTGCTACAATTGTAAAATTCCTTAGTCTTTGGAACACGTTGATCCGATTTAACCCATTGTATGTTAGTTGTGTGAATTGTGCTGTATTATCATATTATCAAGTTTACTAAAGTAAAGAACCAATAAAACAAGGGTAAAAACACTCTTGCGTTGGTTTAATTGTTCTCAAAATGATTATACAAAAAGTTTACATGGTGAAAATACCATTTTTAAAAAATATTAAAATTGCACCCAGTAGAGGGCATAATACTGCAATGATATGGTAATATGTTCCCTCAGAGTTTGACCATCTATGGTTGGATTCAGCTTCTCTCTCAGATCTGAGTAGATATCAAGTGATCTCCTGAAACCATAATCAACCTCTTTTCTAAATAAGGCACAACATAAATAAGATTAAATAATGTAGCGAATTTAATAAATGTCAGGTAGAGACTCTTCCGTTACACATTGATACAGGGTTTCTTAGTAAGTATACATTCATGAAATGTTGGCCACTGAGGAGCTAAGCAGCAGCCACCAATATGAAAATAAAAATGGTTACAAAACACATAAATGACAATACATGTTAATTTTCGGGGGAAAAAAGATGTACGACTATATGTTTAAGTAAGTAAAATGTATTCCTGTTACGAAGTGCTTGTAAACAATTAAGGCATTATATAGTGTATGTCAGCACTTGGTGACATCCAAGTACTGGTTGCACCCTTGCTGAGATTGTCCAGCTTATACACACAATATAATTGCTATCCTTTACCATTTCATCAGATAGCAGCTTGCTACATCGTTTCTGCAAAATTGGGGCAAGAAAGTAATGCTGTTTGCTGTGAAATACTGAAATATTTCTAATAATCAAAAGAGACCGTGGTCCATGTCTACTTAATTTTCAAATCAACTTGCAGCTTTGGTTATAAAGTCCTGCACAACTCTGCACAGTGCTGTACAAAATCCAAACTTGCTGTTTCTGAAACAGATGGAGCATATACATTAGTCAATAGTCTATTATTGACTCTCAGCAACATAAAAAAACAACATAAAATTGTTGTTTATAAGGGGATAGGATCCTGATTAATGGCTCCGCGTTTAGAGTCGTTGCAACATCAATTTAAAAACACAATTTATGAAAATTAGTATGCTTGGACCTGGTTTGGCAAAAGCTGACACCCGCTGCTAACGTGGTTCATCACCTTCTGCTTCAGCTGGGCTACTTGCTCCCTAAGCACGCTGGCTGTTGAGGCCAACTCATTATTTTGAGTTTTCAGAGTCTTGACCTTGTCCTCCAACCGGGAGATCCTCTCAAGTTTTCTTTTGCGACATTTGGAAGCCGCTATCCTGTTCCGCAACTTTTTCCTCTCTGCCTTAATGCGTTCCTGGTTGTCCATGTCAATGGGAGACAAAGGAGGACTGTCACCGAAACTCTGCATGTCTGGAACCGTCTGGGGCTCGTCTTTAACCACACCGACGGAATGGAGTCGTGACATAGCAGCCTGTTGCTGCGCGGTGGTTACATGAGACGGAGGAGGTGGAAACGGAATTGTGTCCGTGGAGTAATTTATGGTCGTGGCTCCCAGCGGACTTGCCGCATAACCGTTCAAAGTTGTGTATACGGGCAGGTCTGATGTCTGAAGTACAGTGGACCCGGCTGCGCTGGGCGATCCAAGTATTTCCAGTCTATCCGTGGCGACGCACCCAGTTTCGCTCAGCTGGTTCTGCTTGTGTAGATCTTCCAGTGCCTTCACGAAACCTTCGGCAAACTCCTGTTCATCACTGGCTGATTTTGGATAAAGGAATTGGGAAGTGGGGTTGGTGGCTATTAGACCGTTGGACTGGATGATCAGACGCTCAAGGTCCGGAGTCGTTAATTTTAGGAGTCCTAATTCTGGCGAGTTTAGAAGTCCCTCTGTGTCCCGAAGAGAGTTAGATTTAAGGTGGGAGTTCTGGTCGTCCAGGTTCAGACTGACTTCCTTCTTCATCATCGTAGTCTGGGAAACGATGCTGCAGACCCTTGGAGTGTTCACGACGGTGGCCAGATAAAGGCTTGTTTCCATTCTACACCCTCACATGAGGGAGTGTTCGCCGTTACGCATTAACTAACATTCAACAGTCCCACCCAAAATCGAGAAAATTAGCCAGATATTATTTTTCTGTGACGCTGTTTCTTAATCCTTTACTAATGTAAGATCAGAGACTTTCGCTCTATACTATAAGGTATTCGCTCTATACTCGAAGGTATCCGGCGTGTCTCGCAAGCATTTGGTCTTTTCCATATGGCACGACTGCTATGCGCAGACCCAGCCCTCGTTCGCTTTCTAGCCCTAAAAATTCCATTATGTCACTTCAGACCGCGGAGATTGGCCCAAAATGACGTAGATTTCCGGTTAAATTTGAATAAGGGGTGGAGCCGGTCTTTATTACCATGGATACTTTAAGTAAACTACAAACAGTGCAATGCATTGTGGTTTGATGTCATAGTGTTTAAAAAAAAAACATAGGGTTGCCAAAAGGGAGCTGGGCGGGGAAGATCTGAGAAAGGAAGGCTAAGGAAAAGAAAGAACAGAGGAAAAGGGTTTTCAACATTTTTATTCGGCCAAATGAAACGAGATATTTAAAGAATAGTTTAGGATTTGATCAAATAGTATTGGCACCTCAATTGTTTTGATGGTTTATGTTGAATTCCACTTTAGTGTTGTGCATCAAACAATGGATATATCTAACAAATCCTTTTGTAAATCCAGATTGATACACATAGCCAGAAAGAAGGCTTCGACACATTAACACATAAATCAGAAGAGGGAAAGAAACACTGGAAGTAGACTAAGTAAACTGTTCACTGGAGCATGCACTCCCAGGCTGGTTATCATGCCGTGTGGTGGGTGGACGGCCTGCCAAGCTATATCTTCCTCAATAAGCTGCAGGTGCTTTTTAGTTGAAGACCAAACAATTATGAGTGTCACATTCAACACTGTTATATTGAGGTAAGATTTAAACATTTTTACATTCATCTATATATTTGATCATCTCCAAGCCAAGGGCATCCATGTATTTTAGTGAATAGAACAGAATAGAATAAAGAGAAAAAGGCAGTGTAGAGATGCAGTATGTGACTCCACGCCATTCTGGCTCTTTCAGTACAGGACAATATCATTGTTCAACATATACACTGTGAAAATGTTAGCAGACTGTCTGTAACAGCTCAACAGACAAGTGGGTCATCGTTAGTTTCCCCGGCAACACTGACATAGTGAATGACGCAGGAAAGATAGTTAGGAAAAGGTGAATGGGTTGGGGGAAAGGAAGGAGGGGCCCTAAAACACTGCAGTGCAGGTTAGACATAGTAAGTAGATGTGTTGTGTACACTGGGTTTAACGGTGATAATTCATGTTGACTCTGCAATCTTATCACTACTGGAAGGAATGAGAGAATTGATTTCAGGCATTCAGATCTGCATTGAACTACAATCCATTGAGAATACAACAGCATTTGTGCTTTTTCTAAGTGCTAGTTAGATAGGGAAGAGTGTCTAGAATGTGTGACTCATTCCTCAGTGCAGGGGTGTGGGCCACAGTATGTTTTAGAATGAGAAGCTGTCTCTGAAGAACAGTATTAGCTTGGCTATGACCTGATGGCAACAACCTTTTTATCAGATTGTTGATCTTCCTCTCAACTCAGTCAAAGCATGTGTCAGAGGGTGATAAGGTTAAGTTTCACTCGGTCTTAATCAGAGAGAAAATAAATCACTAAAGGCCCAGATCACTTAGATTGATCTGTGGCATTAGTTTTAGTTATTCCCTAACAGAAACCCAGTCACATTTGGGAACTGCCTGGTAAACCCATTGAAAACCTTTTTTAGGAACGACTGAGGGATATGTTTAAATTAAATGATTACTTTGAATTATTTCAGAAATTATATGTTGGAAAAAGGGGAATTTTTTTCTATTATTTAACTGCCTGGCCATGAGCCTTCAATGTTTCCTCAGGGTTTTACAAATGCTTTTCTATTTATTTGTATTTATTTCCAATTGGGTTAAATCTAATTGATTTGAAATAATGTGAAAGGGAAACACATATCTTTTCCATTTTTAAACAGCGAGATTTTTCTTTATTTAGAAAGTACAAGTCGTTCCGGTTGTCACTCTGGTTTATCGGTCACCAATAAGCAAGCGTGCCCAATCAACAGATGGCAGTATACTTCCTGGATTTTTGGTTTTCTCAACTCAAAACCCGAAGAAGACGGAAGCAGACACAGCCAGCGCTGGGGTTATCGCGTGTGTACGGTGGGAATATGCCCAATAAAAAGAAAATAATAGTGACAGGTAAGACATTTTGATTGTCAGAAGCTTGTATACATACAGACAACTGTATTGAACAATTTATTTATTGCCTAAAAAAATGATGAAGCTGCGTAATAATCTTAAGATTTTGCTGTCCGGGGAATATTTTTAATATAAAATTAGAATAGTTTTTCAGTATCTCTCTTTATTGAGTCTTGTGCTGCAATTTAATGATTAACTTCAAGTTCATTTCGAGTTTGCTTTCTTTACTCACCCTCGTTTCTAACATGAAACCAAACCAAACCCCTTTGCTGATTTTCCTGTTTATGCTGGAATACTGTGTATTACTGTAGCAGTTGATGAATCTCATGATTCTGTTCCACAGGGTTTGAGCCTTTTGGTGAGCATACTGTAAACTCCAGCTGGATAGCTGTGCAGGTACCAGTAGTAGATTGTTTTGTTATAAACATTATGTGAAAGAACGAAATACAAAGTACAAATACAAAAGTTAACATTGACCTACCTATTTAATTAATTATGTCTCTCAGCATGAACTAAGCCAAGCAGCACTGGCATTATATACTAAGCAGAGGCTACAATTTAGTAGCTTGTAGAACCTCTAGCAGTGGTAAACTAGAAGTAACTATTTTTTTTTACAATCTATCACCCTCTCGTGCTATTATGGAGAAATTATTTCCCAGTTGTCGTTATAATGTTGCTTCAGGTACTTAAGATTTTCAAATGTGAATTTTGCACAGCTTTCTTAAGCTGTTGTACCATATCACATCGAACTTTGGCTTTTTATTGTGCCATAGCATTGACTATAGCAGTGTTACCCAACCTTTGTCCTCATGACACACACTTCCATGTATTTCAAGTTCCTCCCCCCTCCAGCACACCTGATTCAAATAAATAGGTCTTCATCAGCCTTCTGTAGAGCCTAAAGAGCTGTCCTGTTTATTAAAATCAAGTGTGCTGGAGCAGGGAAACTTTGAAAACATGCAGAGCAGTGTGCTATAGTGACCAGGGTTGGAAATCACTGGACGACAGGACGTCCAGGTCCTGTGACTGCAGTACAAGTAAAAAATAATCTTGTCTTTAACGTGTTGCCTGACAGTATGAGATGCAAAGGACAGTTCAAGTTTAAAGCTACAGAGGGTGTGTGTTCACCGGACAAATATTGCTAGCTGGTTCCATAAGAGAGCTGCTGGGTAACTGAAGTCTCTGCCTTCCCATCCTACTTTAGAATCTCTAGGAGCCACATGTCGAACTGCAGTCTCTCTACAGCTTAGTCATATAGAGCTTTATATGCGAAGAGCATAATTATTAATTGTATAAAAAATGTAATAAGGAGCTAATGAAGAGAAGCTGAAACTGGAGAAATATAAAACATTTTCATGTGAACCCTGGTTTTGGATCAGCTGGAGGATTTTCAGATGTTTTGGGACAGCCCAATATTAAGCAATAGAGGCATATATGAAGTGGAAAGAATGTGTCCAAGCACAGAATCCTGGGGAACTCCATGACCATGTCTGTAGGAAAAAGATTACAGATGAAATATTACTTAAACTAGGCCAATGCACTCCCTTTAATCTCAGTAACATGTTTGAGTCTCTATAATAAGATGCAGTGATCAATTGTATCAAATGTTGCCCTGACTTAAACTCTTCAAAGATCCAATTTGTGTGTAAATTATCACAATACATGGTTAAACAGAGCTAAGACTCTTTGTCAGAGTAGCTACAGTACTGAAAAGAAAAATGGCATTACTCTTATTCTCTTCTATCAGTGATTAATATAAGGCAGTTCTAACTTTATGACGGCCTTTCATATAGGCTATTAGAATATGTTTCGAGACTAATTGAGATCGTTATAAATTAGAAGAACTTCATACTCTTTCCAGCTTTCTTTGAGTCTGCTTTAAAATATGCAGGATGATTACACACAACAAAAAGTGGAAGAGGTTTATCTGATTGTGTATATTTGGTCTTGATTATCCTAAGGAAATTGTTCCAAGTCCTATTTTTTGTTGATATCCAGATTTAAAACCTTAAGTCATTTGTCCATGGTAAGAAGAAAGTTGGAGGAAAAATCTCTCCATAGTAGCTCCCTTACCTTTACTTCTTTTTTTTTGATGAGCTGACATGTTAACCAAGGCCTTAGAATCTCCATTTTTTGGGTAGTTTTTGGAATGTACACACATGGGAAGATTCACACCTTTCTTTAATGTTGTAATTCCTTTGCCATACCCTCTTTTATTATTTTTTGAAAGACATGAGATAAGCAACCTTTCACACTCATTAGTATGTGCACTTTTGAGTATACTAATTTTTTGAGTTTTGAAGGAAGGCGGAGTACTTGGAGAGAAACCTTACCTACAAAGGGGGGACATGCAAAGTCCACACCGAATAATTTGTACCAGCTCTGTTGTTTTCCTCTTTTTTATAGTATTTTTTATCACTTTATCACCTTTTAAATAAATAGTAGACTCATATTAACATTCCTATGCTCACAGGAACTGGATCGATTAGGACTGGGTGAAGCAGTAGATCTTTATGTCTGTGAAGTGCCCGTTGAATACCAGGCTGTTCAGAAACTTTTACCAACTCTGTTTAAAGAGCACCAGCCACAGGTATTTAAGGAATAGACATTTATTCTGCAAGTACAGTTTGAATAGCTTTGGGTTAACTGAAATTTGATTTATTAAAACTAAATAAAACAAAAAGAAAAAAACAGTTGACCTTTTGCTTCTTCTGTCTTCTGTGTCTTGTGAGTAGTTAGTTGTCCATGTTGGTGTTTCTGGGTTAGCCACCACTGTCACACTGGAGCAGTGTGGACATAATAATGGCTACAAACGTCTTGACAACTGCAGTTTCTGCCCAGCCTCTCAAAGCTGCATGGAGAATGGTCCAGACTGCATAAAATCAGCCCTGGATATGGATACAGTCTGCAAAAGGGTCAACGACTCCAACATCGGGATCACGGTGTCTGTATCAAAGGATGCTGGAAGGCAAGTGATGGTGTTTGTACATGTATGAATACTAATATGTTCACAGAAGCTAGTGTCCTTTTCATTGGAGGAAAAAAAGTTATGTAAAACATATAGAATGGGCTTAGTTCTGTTCAACTTGTGTCGAAGACATGATTTATTTACTTAGTTTGTGCCCACTGTGACATATTTTTCTTTAAATGTTATTTATAAGTTTTAGATATAAATTTGTGTTACAAGTTGTACATAGTTATAGTGAAACAAAAAATGGAGTATAAAAGTTTAAATGTTTGTCTTTAAAAATCATTTAAAACATAGTTATCCAAAGTGTTATTTGTGTAAATGTATAAATATATTCTGGCCTGTTTTAGGTATCTTTGTGATTATACCTACTACACATCTCTGTACCTGGGGCAGGGCCGTGCTGCCTTTGTCCATGTGCCTCCATTAGGAAAACCCTACAGCAGTCAAGACCTGGGCAGAGGTCTTCAAGTTGTCATACAGGAAATGCTGAAACTAGTGGAGGGTAAATATACAGAGGAGGAGTCCAAAGACAACAAGCATTGCAATCATACATATCAACACCAGCAGTACCAGAAATGACTGACTTAAAACAGACCAAGACTCATGGACCTGACCAAAATTGAAACTCTGTCCTGTTGTATCAGTTTAATAAGATCAACATTGGATGTAGTTGACTACTACCTGTTTTAGTAGTGTAGCTTTAACATATTAAACTCCATCATTCTGAAAGAAAATATATGGTTAATTATATACACTGCCTAACTTCAATAAGTGTATTTCTAAGCCATTTTAAAGATCAGCTTGTTAGGCTAATTGTTATACTTATATATAATAGATATAATTGTTAATGGAATTAAACTCGAATTGAATTAGATTAATAAAAAAAATCAAACAAGGCCAAGTAAATAAAAAAAAATCATATCCAACCATTAATTCCTTTAACTTCGCATCCACAGTGCAATAAATAACCAGACTCAACCATCTGCCTCAAATAGTTGGGAGGGTTGAGCCATTGAAATATTTTCTTATGACAATGTGAAGGCTGTTAAGGAAAGGGCTAATCCTGATCTTCAATAGGAAATTAGAATCTGTCAAATAATTATGACAAATCTAGCCTTTGTAGGAGTAAGTCCACTACCAAAGGGAAAATCATAATTAATTTGAAGATAGGCAATTTATGTTTACATTTAGGTTTGTGCATTTTATCCAGTGTTACTAGCATTGGAGCAATAGCTCTGTCAGCAAGAAAACCCACTTATAAACAAAATTTTGTAGCGAAAGAAAATAAAAAAAAGAGTAACTTGAGACAGAAACTCTTCAGTAAAGGCCTTTTGCCAACTCAGTACGCTTTGAATGGTTTTAAGGATTACTTGTGTACACCTCTGTTTTCAACATTGATACTTGGATTAAAGCGTGTTGTATGTGTCCATGTATTTTGTATGATAAGTTGGTGTCAGTAAGTTTTGACTGCTGTCGAGCTTCCAAACACATCATTCAGATTAAAGTGGTACTATACTTGGTCAACGAAAGTGGAGTGTGATAAAAGTAAATTAGCTAATGACGTAGAAACTGTTCAAGTCTTATCTCTACCAGTTATAAAGTCTTTTTATATTTAAAAGTATGGACATCACATTGTTCTGCTTTTGTTTGCACTAGAAAAATATGCAGATCTTAAAATGTGACATAAAAGAAGGACCTCAGGGCACATTACTATTGCAATCCATAACAAACTAGTTGTATACGTGGACTTATCGATCAGCTGTGTGTAGTGCAGCTTTGAAAAGCAATATCAGAATAGTGTTTGATTAATACATTTCACACAAGTTTAGTTTTAATGTTGTTATCAATCTTAAGTTGTTGATCACGTGAAGAAAAGCTTATACTTTCATGAATTCTCTTGTGCAACATTTTGACTCATCCCTGATAAACAAAAGAACTGTCTTGTGATAAGAAGACTACTCAGGTTTCTCTCTTAAGACCCAATAATGTCCATGCTTTGTCTACACGAGTGAATCATTTTTATTACTTTATCCTTTTTCTGGCTTAACAGAAACACAAAACTTGTGCTGATGTCATATCCTCAAAACTTATGCTACTATTATGTTTATTTTCAATCATACTATCAGCAACTACAATTAAAACAAGTTTTCATTTATTTGTGTCAGATATCTTGATTAAAGAAAGCTTTATAAATGCAATATAGTTTCTCTCTCTCTCTCTCTCTCTCTCTCTCTCTCTCTCTCTCTCTCTCTCATAACCGCTTATTCGCTAATGGGGTCGCGGGGGGCTGGAGCCTATTCCAGTTGTCAATGGGCGAGAGGCGGGGCACACCCAGGACGTTCCGCCAGTCCATCGCAGGGCCATGCAATATAATGTTATCATCTATTATAATATAGTTATTGTTGTGTTTAGATTTTAGTCAGGGAAACATAAATTTGAATCGAAGGATAAGGTATTGAAAATATATATTATATTGTATGCATGGTGTGCAGTTCAGGTAGGCTTAAGTCTAACAAACATCAACTGGACTACATTACCCCGCACCTTTGCCCTCTAAAGGGACTTTATCAGCTTTGATCAGTTTTATCGGATGAACAAAGTCAATCAAACACACACACACAGACATTCACACACGTACATTTCTCGACTGGTTCATTAAATTCTCGCATCCAGCGTTGTGCAAATGCTCTCTCAATGCAATTTCGAAAGCAGACAAATAAATTAGCACAATTGAATAATACTGAATAGTTAATGCCATGTCGTGTATCAACAAAAGCTTGAAGATGCTTTAGTTCGGCTTTAAAATGCCTTCTTGTCTCCTTCCCCTCCTTGGAAAGCCAGCACTTCCTTTAGGAGTCAGGTGTTAAAGAGGCTGGGACAGGAAAATAAACGCATCACCACCTTCATCGAAGCTCACGGAGTCTGTCACCATTTTGTCAATATTATCCTGTCTTTGTTATTTAGCCTTCATTGTAACGTAAACAGTTAGTGGAATAGCGTCGTGGCAACTGAAATACCATTGACGAAAAGCTGAAAACATGAGTGTTGAGGCGTACGGGCCCAGCTCGCAGACCCTAACGTTCCTGGATACCGAAGAAGCGGAGCTACTTGGAGCGGATACTCAGGGTTCAGAGTACGACTTCACCGACTTTACCTTGCCGAGCCAGACCCAAGGCCAAACCCAGAACCAGCTAGATAGCCAGGTTCGTGCAGTTATTTTGACGATCTCTTGTGAAAACAAGTGTTATTCTGCTATAATGAAATGTGAATTAGCGTTAGCATTGGTTAGCCTTGCAGACGCTTTGCTTTGGTGTTACCATGCATTTACTATTGGTTAGAATGCTATCTGACGAGGACAGCTACAGTCTGTCGGCAAGACAAGAGTTATCACCTTAATAATATATCAACCAAAGGTACTAGAAGTTGTTTGGAGTATTGGAAATATGCTGATTTGTATTTGTGAGTTGTTCCATATATTACATTCAAAGTGTTTACTGACGGAGATATCACAAATGTAAGTAACCCTTATTTGCAACAGTAAGTAATAACAAATGGATGCCTTCTTGGATCATGTACACATTTCTGGATGAGAGATGATCTTCATGATCAATGTCCAGTTGCCCTTATCCAAGCTCTTAGTATAATCATGACTTGACTTGAAAGTTCAAAGTCAACATACTTGGAAGTGTGATACTGTTAGATAACTTTTATGTATTATTACTGTTTGTGTGTGTATATAAGTGTAGTTTTGTGTAAGTGTAGATTCTCAGTTATTATTCAGTATAACCAGCTAGATTACATCTCTGATGAAAACTGATGAACTAATAAATGGCTGATGCAGTTTTAATTTGTTTTAACTATTAATCTGTGTCCTGCTTAGGTTGATATCCATGACAGTGTGCTACAAAATGGAGATGACCCTGTGGCAAAAGCCAGTCAGTTGCTGGCAGAGTTGAATTTTGAAGAGGACGAGGAGGATACCTACTATACCAAAGACCTTCCATTACATGCCTGCAGGTAAAATAACCCTTTTTGCAAAACTATGCTATGTTCTAGTAGTGTTGAAAGAAATAGTCATGTTTATTTTTTCCTAACTCATTGCATGTTGTGGCTTTTAGTAGTGATTACATTTATATTAAAAAGAGTGACCATAGAGTTGATATCTTTACATTTCCATTTTTCTAGTTCATCCTTAATTGCTGAACAATTGAAGTTGTTTAAGTTTATTATTTATGTAAAGGTGTTGTCAAACTATAAAACACCTGCTCTGTTTAGGTTCTTTTTTTTTTTCTTGTCAAGAGTAATTGGGGGAAAAGTGATTTTATGAAAAATATGTTATTTTGATTTTTTTTTTTGTTTCAGTGCAATGTTTATTGTCTGCCCTGTTAGCATTATATTTTCTTTGTTCTTTCTTAACTTTTTTTGTAGTTATTGTGGGATTCACGACCCTGCCTGTGTTGTCTACTGCAACACTAGCAAGAAGTGGTTTTGTAATGGCCGTGGTAACACATCTGGCAGGTAAGGCATGTAAATGATGGAGCACGAAGCTCAATGAACAAAAAGGGAATCATGCTTCTGATACAGTATTATTAAAGCATGTGCAAGTATAAAGCATTTTAAAGCACAGTGCAAAAGAACCGTGTGTTGGTATGTGTTCTGTTTAGAACGTGTTTTTGTTTTGGTCAGTTATTTGTTAATAGGATCTCCATACAAATTGTGACACAACAAATTCATATATTGACTGATTATGGTGTCCACTGCAAAGGTGCTTCTAATTTAAAATATTAGATACTTCCGGAGAAGTGGTGTTAGTATTGCTACTAAAGCAAATTTGGCTCCCAAAAACGGGACTCCAATTTAAAACTAAAACATCTTCACAATCAAATGAAGCCCTGATGTCTACAAAAGTCTAAATGCCCACAAATACTTGCCCATCTTCAAGAAACCCTTGAAGCCCCAGCTCTTCAGAGAGCATCTCCTACCCTAACACTTAAAGAGTTTTTCGAATTAGTTCCTACTCAGCCCCTACATGATTCGGACCGGCACTACACCCTATGGTTTAGATCAGGGCTGGTTAACTCCGGGCATTGAGGGGCGCTGTCCTGCGTGTTGTAAAGGTGTCCCTGCTTCTACACATCGGATTCTCATCAACACAACATCAACTGTCCTGTGCAGAGCTGACCCATCTTTAGAAGAGATCAGTTTGATCTAAATCAGGTATGTAGAAGCAGGAAACCTCTAAAACCTGAAGGACAGTGGCCCCCGAGGTCTGGAGTTTCCCACCCCTGGTTTAGATGGTCTTCCATTGCAAACTACAGCCAAGCAGAAGGACTGGCTAAATGGCACATAATGTAATTTATACTCGACACAAGCACAATCCAGGACATCGTGGAAACTATTAAACATATACTGTAAACCTCTGTGTTAGACCACGGTGTTGGTTTGTATCTTAGGCATTAACAACATTTCTGATCACAGCAATAATTACATCGGATGTGTGTTTCACAGTTTTTTCAATGGACGGGGTACACATGATGGTGTAGCTATTGACCACTCCTTGACTATTGGGACACCTTGACTATTCAGCGTCTGGCAATCTGCTGTCATATTCAGTCCTGATGGAACCCCAACTGTGTAGGGGCTAAAGATAATCCTAAACCTTACCTTAACTTGGGACTTGTGATTTCCTTCTATGTAGCTTATTTTAGCCTTGATGTCAGCTGTGATGTTTCTGCATTCTAAGTCGCTTTGGATAAAAGCGTCTTCTAAATACATAAACAGAAGCATAAACACTAGAGGTTGGGAAGTATTGTGCTTTTATCAAACATCTCTACTCGGCCATCAATTTCTAGGAGAAAAAATTGTGATGTGCCTGTTGTTGGAAAACTAAAAATATTTTCCCTTAATTCCCTGTAAAGGGCTTTTTTTGTATCAAAGTATAGCTGGTGTTGTGAGTAGTTGATAAATCTGGTCTGTAGGTGTGCATCCACAGAGCCAAACTTTTTAATGCATATAAAAATCAATTTGGCTTTACTTTCATTAAATAAAGGCCTTCCATGAAAAAAAAAAATTCTGGCTAGATAGGAGTATTGAATGCCAAAACCTGTGTCCATTATTGAGAACCAAGAATACCATTCCAGATTTGCAATTCATCTTTTATCATGTGGACTACTGTACTTCACCACCAACACAGATGTGGAATTTTTGCATCAAGCAATGAGCCCTTCTTTCTTTTGTCCAGTCTCATGAAATAATGTTTTGTTATTTGTTTGTTTGTTTTTTAACTTTAAAGCAAAGAATGACGAAGAGTCAGATCCCTGTAGTAGTTTTCATAAGTCTTCATACCAAAACTCGTGTTAATTTCCAAATCAAAATCACATTTTCATTCTTTGTTATTAAGAGCAACATGATATTGAGCAAACAAGTCCAATTAATTTCTATGATTACATGTTTCTGAAATTCATTGCAGTTTATTGCAAAGTGGTAAAATGAACTATTTTCTTTCCAAGCACAACATTCTTTTTGGGAATTGAAGCTGTATAAACTAAGGCTCATGGTGCTGCTGTCATTTATTTAGCTAGTTTATTGTACACAAACATGCCAAGAAAACAGAACTATTACAATGAATTTACTCTGTAATTTTGGCCGAATCATATCCCAAAATGAAAATGTTTTAAAGACTAATTTCATCATATGTGACAAACAAAGAAATGTTGAGACGTATCACACCATTCACACATACTGGTGTGTAATCCTTTGCATGTCCTCCCGTGATGCTTAAAAGTATTATTTTTTTCATATAGCCACATTGTAAACCACCTGGTGAGAGCAAAGTCCAAGGAGGTGACCCTTCACAAAGATGGCCCCCTGGGTGAAACTATTTTGGAATGTTACAACTGTGGCTGTCGAAATGTCTTCTTACTGGGGTTCATTCCTGCGAAGGCTGACTCTGTTGTGGTGTTGTTGTGCAGGTAAGATTCCTGTTAACACAACAAAACAAGATTTATACTATTACATTTCATTATTATTTAATTTCATTCTTATTTAGGCAACCTTGTGCTAGTCAGAGTAGTTTGAAGGACATCAACTGGGACAGCTCACAATGGCAGCCTCTCATTCAGGATCGTTGCTTCCTTTCCTGGCTGGTGAAAATCCCCTCAGAACAAGAGCAGCTCCGGTCACGCCAGATCACTGCCCAGCAGATAAACAAGCTGGAGGAGCTCTGGAAGGTATTGTCATTCAAACTTTACAATATGAATATTCTAAACCGTCCTGGAGAAGTTACCAAACCAAACTGAGAACATTTACTTTGTCAGCAAACGCAATATAACTTTAATATTTAGTAATCATTTTATTCTTGAATGTAGAAGTTTTCAGTTAGGAGTGGAGTCTTTTTACTTTTGAATGTCAATCCTAAAGAGTCATTATATATATATTCTTGACAGGAAAATCCCACTGCGACTTTAGAGGACTTGGAGAAGCCTGGAGTAGATGAAGAGCCACAACATGTCTTGCTACGTTACGAGGACGCCTACCAGTACCAGAACATCTTTGGCCCCCTTGTGAAACTTGAGGCTGACTATGATAAAAAACTCAAAGAGTCACAGGCATGTACGAAACAAAAAAATTATTTAATTTTTAAACATTTGTTATTACAGATTTTTGTTTATTTAGGAAATACACTGAATCGCTGGTCATCAATTTATATTAAGTAATCAGCATTTTTTCACAGTTGTAACTTCACTATGCTTACAATCAAACAATACTTTTTTTTGGCTCTTTGACTTTCTTTTTTCCTTCTTTGTTTGATGAAAACTACACATTAACTTTCCACTGCCATTGAGACATTCATGAATTTGATTGTCCCAATTAAATTAAGTTCAATTCAATTTTATTTATAAAGCGCCACATCACAACAACAGTTAACTCACAGCACTTTCCAAACAGAGCAGGTCAGACCCTACTCTGAAGTTATTTACCATTGTGGGTCCTTGGTGATATGAATATCCACCTTGACTGCCCCAGCTTCTCTGATTTCTTAACATTAATTAACTCTTTTGAGCTACAACAAGTCAGTAGTCCTCCTACTCAGAAAGCTGGTAAAGCGCTTGATCTCATTTTCACAAGAAAATGTGTAATAGATGCCCTTTCTATCACACCTCTGCATTTTTCTGATCACTATTTCATTCAACTCTTCCACAGAAACCTCTGCAAACTTTCACCTACCCGCTTCTCCTCCCATGTTGCGTCCGCTGTTCCAAACTCCAGCACATTTTTCCTCACTTGAGGTTAATGAGGCCAAGGAATCCCTTTGCTCTACATTGAGCTCCTGCTTAGATAGTCTGTGTCCTCTATCCACTAAACCTGCCCGAGCCTCTCAGTCCCACCCATGGCTTAATGATACACTCAAATCAGTGGCTACAGCGGGCGGACCATATGCGGAGCCTCTGCTCGCAAGCGGGCGACCTGGGTTCGAATCCGGCCCACGGCCCTTTCCCGCAGGTCTCCCCCTCTCTGTCTCTGCCCCCCTTTCCTGTCCAGCTAATAGCATTAAAGGCCACTAGAGCCAACAAAATCTTAAAAAATTAAAATAAGAATAAAAAAAACACTGCAAACCAACCTCAGGGCTGCAGAAAGGAAATTGCAAAAATACAAAAATCCAGAAGATGTAACAAAATTTCAGGCACTGCTGTCTGCATTCTCTTTAAGCGTCACTGATGCAAAAAAGGCTTTCTATACTGATAAGATTCACATTACAACCGACACTCGAAAACTATTCTCCATCTTCAAAACTCTACTCTACCCTCCTCCTCCATCACCTGCTACTAATTTAATAGCAGACACTTTCGCCTAGGTTTTTACTGAAAAAGTGACAGCTATAAGCAAACAGTTTGCTGAACTGTCCACACCGGAAACTTCTCAGAGTACGCATACAAGCAGAAGTCCTAAAGCTTCATTCTCTTCATTCACCCCTTTTACTGAGAACAATGTTTCTAAACTTCTCACATGTAGCTGTCCTATTGCATGCCGGCTGGACCCCGTTCCTGCAAATTTAGTCCAGTCTATAACTCCCATGGTAACTGCAGCAGTCACACATGTGATCAATGCTTCACTGACATCAGGCACATTTCCTAACTCATACAAGCAAGCTCTGGTTACACCGCTGCTTAAGAAACCCTCCCCCCTCCGATTCAGGAGGAACAGTATCGGCCGGTCTCTCTACTTCCGTTTCTGTCTAAGACCATTGAAAGGGAAGTCTTTAAGCAGGTCACAAAATACCTCTCACAAAACAATCTCCATGATACAAACCAATCTGGGTTAAAAATTGCCACTCCACTGAAAAGGCTCTGTCTGTGACAGAAGCCTTAAAAGAGGCAAAAGCAACTGCAAAGTGCTCAGTACTTATCCTGCTTGACTTATCAGCTGCTGCATCTCAGGCTGTCTCTTGGACATATTAAAATGGATGAAAGCCCATCACCATCCATCCATCCATCCATCCATCCATCGATCCATCCATCCATCCATCCATCCATTGTCCACCGCTTATCCGGGGTCGGGTCGCGGGGGCAGCAGCCGGAGCAGGGAAACCCAGACTTCCCTCTCCCCGGCCACTTCAGCCAGCTCCTCCGGGGGGATCCCGAGGCGTTCCCAGGCCAGCCGGGACACATAGTCCCTCCAGCGGGTCCTGGGTCTTCCTCTGGGCCTTCTCCCGGTGGGACGAGCCCGGAACACCTCCCCAGGGAGGCGACCAGGAGGCATCCTAAACAGATGCCCGAGCTACCTCAACTGGCTCCTCTCCACGTGGAGGAGCAGCGGCTCTACTCCGAGCCCCTCCCGGATGGCCGAGCTTCTCACCCTATCTCTAAGGGAGAGCCCCGCCACCCTGCGGAGGAAACTCATTTCGGCCGCTTGTATCCGCGATCTCGTTCTTTCAGTCACTACCCAAACTTCGTGACCATAGACGAGGGTGGGAACGTAGATCGACCGATAAATTGAGAGCTTCGCCTTTAGGCTCAGCTCTCTCTTCATCACGACATACCGGTACAGCGCCCGCATTACTGCAGACGCCGCACCGATCCGCCTATCGATCTCACGCTCCCTGCCCCCATTCGCGAACAAGACCCCGAGATACTTGAACTCCTCCACTTGGGGAAGGACGTCCGCTCCGACTCGGAGGAGGCACTCTACCCTTTTCCGGTGAGAGACCATGGTCTCGGACTTGGAGGCACTGATCCTCATCCCAGCCGCTTCGCACTCGGCTGCGAACCGCTCCAGTGAGAGCTGTAGGTCCTGACTTGATGAAGCCAACAGGACCACATCATCTGCAAAAAGCAGAGATGCGATCCTAAGGCCACCAAGACTGACACCCTCAACACCTCGGCTGCGCCTAGAAATCCTGTCCATAAAAGTTATGAACAGGACCGGAGACATAGGGCAACCTTGGCGGAGTCCAACTCCCACCGGAAAAGAGTCCGACTTACTACCGGCAATGCGAACCAAACTCTGACTCCGGTCGTACAGGGACCGAACAGCCCGTAGCAAAGGGCCAGGTACCCCATACTCCCGGAGCACCCCCCACAGGATACCCCGAGGGACACGGTCGAACGCCTTCTCCAAGTCCACAAAACACATGTGGACTGGTTGAGCGAACTCCCATGCACCCTCCAGGAGCCCGCTGAGGGTATAGAGCTGGTCCAGCGTTCCACGGCCAGGACGAAAACCACACTGTTCCTCCTCGATCCGAGACTCGACTATCCGACGGACCCTCCTCTCCAGAACCGCTGAATAGACCTTCCCAGGGAGGCTTAAGAGTGTGATCCCCCTGTAGTTGGAACACACCCTTCGGTCCCCCTTTTTAAATAGGGGGACCACCACCCCAGTCTGCCAATCCAGCGGGACTGCCCCTGATGTCCACGCGATGTTGCAGAGTCGCGTTAGCCAACGCAGCCCCACAACATCCAAAGCCTTAAGGAACTCCGGCCGGATCTCATCCACCCCCGGAGCCCTGCCACCGCGGAGCTTTTTGACTACCTCGGTGACTTCAGCCCCGGAGATTAGAGATCCCAACTCCGGATCCCCAGGCTCTGCCCCTCCAATGGAGGACGCGCCAGTGGGATTGAGGAGGTCCTCGAAGTACTCCGCCCACCGACCCACAACGTCACGAGTTGAGGTCAACAGCACCCCATCCCCACTGTAAACAGTGTTGGTGGGGCACTGCTTCCCCCCCCGAGACGCCGGATGGTGGACCAGAATCGCCTCGAGGCCATACGGAAGTCTTTTTCCATGGCCTCCCCAAACTCCTCCCACGCCCGAGTTTTTGCCTCGGCGACCACCCGAGCCGCATGTCGCTTGAAAGCCCATCACCTCCAACTAAATCTCTCAAAAACTGAACTGCTTGTTTTTCCAGCCAAACTAACCAAATACCACAATATTCACATCCAGACTGGATCCCTGTCTCTGACTACATCAGAGGCTTGATGGCCAGCTGACCTTTGAAGATCATGTTACCTCTGTTTCTCGATCTTGTCGCTTCACAATACTAAACATAAGAAAGATCCAGCCATACCTAACCCAACATGCTACCCAGCTCCTGTTGCAGTCTATGGTTATCTCCCGCCTTGACCATTGCAACGCACTCCCGACTGGTGTCTTAGCCTGGTACTGTTATTTAGTAACGGTTAAACCGTTACAAAATATTCAGAATGCGACGGCACGTCTGTCTTCAATCAGCCCAAAAAGTCTCCTGTCACCCCTCTGTCCATTGAGCTTTACTGGTTAACCCAGGCTGCCAGCATCAAATTCAGGTCCCTGATGCTAGCCTACATAGTGCTTAAGGGTATGGCTCCAATCTGTTTTAATCCTCTTGCAATGGCTTATGTCACAACTCGGTCACTCCGGTCATCAATGGATTGTTGTCTAGCAGTGCCCACACTGAGCTTAAGACAATCCAGACTGTTTTCATGTATTGTTCCAAAATGTTGAAATGACCTACCAAGCGCAACAAGAACAGCAGCATCCCTGTCTATCTTCAGGAAACTCTTAAAGACCCACCTCTTCAAAGATCATCTCCTATCCTAACTTTTACCATACTTCTATACCCCTTCTACTACTCTTTTTGTACCTCCCTCTATCTCTTCGCTGTGACCACTGACTCTGACATGGGATTTTCCACTAGAGAGCTTATTGTCAGATTGTTGATAACTGTAACATTGTGTCTATTTTGTAAGTCACTTCGGATAAAAGCGTCTTCTAAATGTATAAACATAAAATGCATAAACATCATTTTTTTGCGTTCTCAACAGACACAAGACAATATAACAGTCCGATGGGATTTGGGTCTCAATAAGAAGAGGATTGCTTACTTCACCCTTCCAAAGACAGACTCTGGTAATTCGTTTTTCTTATCTCCTAAAATGTATTATCAGTGTCTCATAGACATTATACATTCTATTATTCTTTATGTAATCACTTGCCTTTAGATATAATCATGCACACTTCATTAATTCTTTGATTTTAAACATTTTATCTTTGTTGGTTTTTATTCTCTAGATATGCGACTGATGCAGGGAGATGAAATTTGTCTCAGATACAAAGGAGACTTGGCCCCTCCATGGAAAGGAATTGGACATGTTATCAAAGTCCCTGATAGTATCCTAATATATTACATATCCACATGTATCGAGCTTGGTTTGCAATCAAAATAGAAAACCACAATAGTTAAAACATATGTCATTTCACTGGTTTGAACTTCTTCATGAGTTTGTACTCCATAGCATCTTTGTATTAGCATTTCAATATTTTTATGTCAAACATTTGAAAAATATGAATTTCATAAAATGAATTGAAAGTTAACAATGCTAATGTAACCACCACGTTGCCACACAGCTAGCTTACACATAGAAACTAAATCTTTATTACTCATATACAGTTTGTTTGTTATTTGACTTCTAAATCTAAATTAAATCAGAATAGATATATATTAGAGATACAGTCTTAGAGTCGCATGATATAACTGAGTGTATGCTGGAGATGTTGAAGGATTAAGTGTCTCCTTAACTTTCTGTCCCAGACTATGGTGATGAAATTGCCATAGAGCTGAGGAGTAGTGCAGGAGTTCCAGTGGAGATTCCTCACAACTTTCAAGTTGACTTTGTGTGGAAGTCAACTTCTTTTGATAGGTATTTACAGACAAAAGTCACACACAAACTTCTGTGAAAACTGCTGCTCTGTTACCAGCAAGGAATTTTTTCTTCTAATTTATTCATGAGTTTATTTATTCATTTATTGTGTATCTTTGTTATCAAGGATGCAAAGTGCCTTGAAAACATTTGCAGTGGATGAGACCTCAGTGTCTGGTTACATCTACCACAAACTACTAGGACATGAGGTTGAGGATGTAGTCATCAAGTGCCAGCTGCCCAAGCGCTTCACTGCTCAAGGCTTACCTGATCTTAACCACTCTCAGGTAAAGTAGGCAATAAAAGGGTTGTTCAATATCTTTGACCATGTGACATCTTAGAGTTCAAATCAAAATGTTATTTTGTAACGCAGGTGTATGCTGTAAAAACAGTTCTGCAGCGTCCACTCTGTCTGATCCAGGGTCCCCCTGGCACAGGGAAGACGGTCACCTCTGCTACTATTGTATACCACCTAGCACGGCAGGGCAATGGGTAAAAAACTGTGATTTTGTGGACTGGCTGTAATATTTGAAAGACTTGCTATTGATCGATTTGAGCTATAATTAACTCAACATAGGAAAGTCTTCCTTATTTTGTTCTAAATTAAATACTATGATCAATGAGTATTAAAAAATGATACTAACAAGTGAAATGTTTTTCAAGACAATGAATAGATTGCAATGTTTTGTCCCTTTAGACCAGTGCTGGTTTGTGCTCCAAGTAACATTGCTGTGGACCAGCTTACTGAGAAGATCCACCAGACAGGTTTAAAAGTGGTGAGACTGTGTGCAAAAAGCAGGGAGGCCATAGACTCACCCGTGTCCTTCCTGGCTCTGCACAACCAGACCCGTAACATGGACAGGTAACAAATAATGTGTTCCAGAATGTTTCTTAAACAATTACAGTAGTCAAAAACTATTGTTTGTACTAGCTTAATTAATCTATATTGTTGGGTAATGAACTCGGAAAAATGTCAAACTCACAAACACGGACCAGCACTATTGACATCTATCAGGTTAGCCTCTCTTTATTATGTTTCAAATGTAGCCATGTGCAAGTGCTTTTTTAAGTCACATACTAGAATGCTAGGTGACAAGGGGTGGATGATATGGAAAAAAAAGACAATCGCAATTATTTTAAGGGGGACACTTTTTTTTTGTTGTTGAAAAAATTCAGTCACCCTACTGGCTTACCAAGACATATGGATAGACAACGTGCTTCAAAGCAATAGCCTTGATAATTTTTAAAGTGCTTCATGAATCTGCTACACACAAACATGTATTATGGATATATTTGACAAGGACCAGCTTGAATTTATATCCAGGTTTGCTCTACACTATCGCTGTCATGTCTTGCTATTAAATCATCAGGTAAAATAGAACATTGAAGCATATTTCATACAATGTGAGAGAATTGTTTTGTTTTGGTTGCTGTGAGTTCTGAGGAGACTGAATCATACCCTCTGATCGGCTAACCCTTTCATGCACCTCTCCTCAACTGTGTATACACCATTTGTTTCTTGTCTTGACAGACAGTATGAATCCTTGATAATGCAAAATTTCACATCGTTAAAGCAACATTTATGATCTACCATTAGCAATATATATCGCCCACCTCTGAAAGTGACATGTAAAAAAATGCTTCACTTTTACTGGACATTAAAATTGAAACGATTATTGTTGGATAGGTTGATTTCAGTTCAGTACATGATGATATATTTTACAGTTATGAAGAGTTATGATAGAACTGTTACAGAAAATATTTGGCTTGCAGTCACAACACTCATCTCACTCTGATGACTTGGTGTGTACCGGTAGTATGCCAGAGCTTCAGAAGCTCCAGCAGCTGAAGGATGAGACCGGAGAATTGTCCTCCTCAGATGAGAAGCGCTACAGAGCTTTGAGACGGACTGCTGAGAGAGAGCTGCTTATGGTAATACAAGCGAAGTTATTAGCCTATAATGTTTTGTGTTTGTGACAGTACTAGATAGTCTTTGCAAATATGTAAACTATGTATGCTTAACCACTCCAATGTGAAAAGGTTATATTTGTTATCACAATGGTAATATCATTAGTGATATGTTTCCATTGGAAGACTTACCTTGGTCTCTTTTCTATTATAGAATGCTGATGTGATCTGCTCTACATGTGTTGGAGCAGGGGATCCTCGTCTGGCCAAAATGCAGTTCAGATCAATTTTGATTGATGAGAGTACCCAGGCTACTGAACCTGAATGTATGGTTCCTGTTGTTTTGGGGGCCAAACAGGTTAGAGTCACATTATGATAACATAGCAGAATATGTATATATGATATCAGCTGTTCTGTCTTCTTTTCTCTTAATATTCCAATTATGTGTTTACATAGTTAATTTTGGTGGGTGATCACTGCCAACTGGGACCTGTGGTGATGTGTAAGAAAGCAGCCAAAGCAGGTCTCTCCCAGTCTCTTTTTGAGCGTCTTGTTGTTTTGGGAATCCGGCCTATTCGACTTCAAGTCCAATACCGCATGCACCCAGCCCTTAGCGCGTTCCCCTCCAACATCTTCTATGAAGGTTCTCTACAGAATGGAGTCACTGCTGGTGAGATTATATGTAGATATTTTCAGAGATATATATATATTTTTTACGTACTCAACACGTGCTCAGCATAGCTTGGCTTGACTCTACTAATTTTTTGTTTTTTTCAGTAGGGGCTGGAGCCTCCTAAGAGTTACATTTTAGTCATATTAAACAAACTATAGTCTTAAGTGAACTGAGTCAGATCGGTGGCAGATTGCAGTCGACTGATTGGCCTGGACATCGCATGACAAAATGAGTTGTCAAGTCTGTTTCAAAAGCCATGAGTCATATTTTCAAAATGCAACAACAAGAAATAATCAATTGAATTACTCTCCTAATCATCAACAAACATTATAAATGCATAATACACTAAGCAACATGGTGGTCCAACACAAAGTTTCAGTTGGTGTAATTTCTCCGTTATGCCTACACATACAAGTACATTCAACTTCACAGGCCTTTAGGACCTCGCTTGTAATGGAACACATACATCTAAACTGAGGCAAGGCAGTAGGGCTGAGTACCTACTAATGGAAAATGGCCATAAGTACTAGTGGACTGCAGAAAATGATAATAATGTTTTTTCATTATCAATGGTCATGTTCCATTGAACATAAGGGCTATCATTCTATAAATGTTGTCAAATCAATTGTCAAATCTGCACGTTTAAGTGTTTACTGTATGTGAAAAGGGAGAGAAGAATCTGGTGAATCAAATGGTGCCCTTTTGTGGCGAGGATGTGTAGCTGCCAAAATAATGCAAATTGAATAGGACGAATAAAAAACTGCTGAGTTTGAACAGCCAGAGTTGATAATAAATAGCTTTTCAATGGTGACTAATCTGTATTTACAGCGCAGAGGGACATTGACACAGAGGGACATTGACATACATATTGTATTAATCTCTTCAAATAACAATAAGATATCTGTAGCCATGTACTTCTTGGATTATTGGCCTAAAAATACTATCACATATCCTCCTTATTGCGGTAATTCATTGACTGATGAGATGAGTAACAAAGCAACTCAGCGAAAAGGGAAAAAAAAGGTTTTTAAAAAGGTTCTTCCACTTTATGATAATTCAGTTGGGGATCGATGTATACCTCCACATCCCCCAGATCAAAGTATAAATGCTTTTCTCTATCTACAGCTGACCGTGTGAAAAAGGGCTTCGACTTCCAGTGGCCACAACCTGACAAGCCAATGTTTTTTTATGTTACTCAAGGCCAGGAAGAAATTGCTAGCTCTGGAACATCCTATCTCAATAGGTATGAAATGTGTTTAACACTGCTTTGGTTTGACACGATCCTTATTGGTTATTTTTCTTATTTGAATTACACTTCTTGCTCTCTTTAATAAATTAATAATTTTAATTTTAATCTATAATAAAATAGATGGAATCCTTGATCATCTTTTTCCTGCAGCCCTAAATGGTACAAACCTAAAGAACTTGAGTGATGCTTCTTAGATATATTCAAAATCACTTTGGTATATAGTTTTTTAGTTTCACAATATTCTAAAATTATTGTGTTTAATTAAGCCTAATTTTTTGGCAGGACTGAGGCAGCCAATGTGGAGAAAATAACAACAAGGTTGTTGAAGGCTGGTGCTAAACCTGATCAGATTGGCATCATCACCCCCTATGAGGGACAGAGGTCCTACTTGGTCCAGTACATGCAGTTCAGTGGCTCTCTCCATACCAAGCTTTACCAGGTAGAATAAGCAATATTTTCTAAAGATTCCTTCATTTAAATATTTGTTGTATTTGTTCTTTGCCCCACCATGGCATAGGTTAAATGAACTTTTTCTTTTCTTATTCTAATTTGAATAACTTTGAAAAGTATCAAGGTCAAACTGATTTAAACCATAATGTTTATACAACCTTGTGAAACTGGCCAACACTGCTCTATAGCAGATTTAGAAAATTTGGAATAGAAACATTCAATTGGATTGTTGAATCCACTAACTCAATTTGGATTGGAAGGATATTTTAAAATTAATTTTAAAAGGCTAGTTTTGGTTGTTCTAACTAATTAATGAATTTGTAAATGTACTTACTGCTCCACAGTTGGTTTTTTCACAAAGTTTAACCTCTTTTCCAATCTTTATTTGAGAGACTCGCTCTTCCTAAGTTGCTTTTTATGCCCACAAATATTAACTTGCTGACAGCTAATTGGAATGAACTAACCGGATGACCACCTTGCACTAAAAGTGCAACATGATTCATGACAAACTGATATTTAATCATTAAATGTTGAAAAATTATTTTGCATTTGTCTGGGTTTTGTAAATGTAAGTGAAATGTAAAGCAAATACTTTCATTCTCTTTTTCTTAGTTTTAAACAGTGTCACAGTCTTTTTTAACTGTGGTTATGCTTTGTTCAGGAGGTGGAAATAGCCAGTGTCGATGCTTTCCAAGGCAGAGAGAAAGACTTTATTATCTTGTCCTGTGTGAGAGCCAATGAACACCAGGGTATTGGCTTTCTCAATGATCCCAGACGTCTGAATGTAGCACTTACCAGAGCTAGGTACAAAAATCTGCTTTTTTTTTTTTTCAACTATATTATTAGTTATATCATATTTTATAAGATATATATTTACTTTTGATTACTTTACTAGGCATGGCAATATCTGCTTTATGTAGTACATTTCTGCTTTTTGTGACATAGATATGGTGTGGTTATTGTGGGAAATCCAAAAGCCCTGTCAAAGCAACCTCTGTGGAACCACCTGCTGAATTACTACAAGGAGCAGAAGGTGCTTGTTGAAGGGCCTCTAAACAACCTGAGAGAGAGTCTAATGCAATTCAGCAAACCCCGCAAGCTTGTCAACAACATCAATCCTGTGAGTTTAAATTGCCTCTCCACTGCGTTGTAGTGCTCTGACATAAAGGCTTTTTAACTGTGTAATGCATGTTTGCTCTCCTGTGGGATTAAAAAGATTGTATTGTTTTAATGACAGAAAACCTAAGATGAACAGTAGAATATTAAATGAGCATTTCCTGTTTTGTGTTTTGCAGGGTGGTCGATTCATGAGCACAGCCATGTATGATGCCAGGGAGGCACTAATTCCAGGATCTATTTATGATCGCAGCAGCAATGGTGAGATTTGTTTCTCACAGAACACAAAGCCTTATCTTTTCTTTTTTTTTGCCTTTTCAAAGACAAAATCATTAGCAAGTTGAATTTTGTATATTGACTTTTAAAATGTATTGAGCACACATTTAATGTGCTTCTTTTGCGTACCAGCAGTGATACAACCAAATGATTCAAAAGTGAGTTGCTTCATTTTTTTTTTCCTGCTACAGGGCGTTCATCCAGCATGTATTTCCAAACTCATGACCAGATTGGTATGATTGGCACAGGCCCCAATCCCATATCGTCTATGAACATACCCATTCCCTTCAACCTTGTGATGCCTTCTATACCCCCCCCAGGGTACTTTGGGCAGTTAAATGGTCCCACTGCAGGTGAGGTGCTGTCCTCTATAAGAGTACTGCAGACTCCACAGTTCTCGATCAAAATACAATAGAATTCCAAGTACTTGTTTGCATTGTTTTGCCTGTCTTCACATTTGTTCAGGTCGTAGTGGAAGTCTTAAGGTTAAGTCAGGTAGTGGAGGGGGGACTCGAGGTGGTCGTCAAAGAAGCCGCAGCAATGTGGGAAACAACAGTGGAGGGAATGACCGTGGTCAGCATGGCCATATGACTTGTAGCCAGGCTAGTCAAGACCAGAGCTCCCAGCCATTCTCCCAGGGACCTCTGACACAGGGCTACATAAACATGAGCCAGCCATCACAGATGAGCCAGCCAGGGCTTTCACAGCCTGAGCTTTCACAGGTCTGTAGTTTCACTGACACAATGTAGAAAGCTTTCTGTTCTGTTAAGGGTTCAGCTACCTTTACATTTAGAACATAATTTTACTGTTTTATCCCTTTAAGTAAAGGAGTCATGTGGAAAAGTGATAATTTCATCCTTCTATGTAAATAAAAGATTGCTCATTATGCTCTTTGTTCTACCTTGTAGGACAGTTACTTAGGAGACGAATTTAAGTCCCAGATTGATGTGGCTTTGTCCCAAGACTCCACCTACCAGGGGGAGCGCGCTTACCAACATGGCGGAGTCACTGGACTGTCCCAGTACTAGACTGTAAGAAACTTTGAGCTACACAAGGAGCAAATGTAGATCACATGATAGCCAGTTGCATTTTGTCTTTTTTTGGCGAGATATTTCTCACAAAACCAAATATGTGAATTCTATAAGGTTGACAGGAAGATATCATTTTTAGCGACAACATAGATTTCAACTTAATTTCCTGATAACTCATCTCATGTTATGCATATATATATATATATATATATTTAAACTTTGGGTTTGGTCATTTTTTAAGTTTTAGATACTTAGTTTTGGCTTTTCTGATAATTAGACTATATTGCTTGCATAACAAGGCTGGCCAAACCATTTCTTATTTTGTTATGACTATTGTTAAATTATTGAAAAAATTCTGTATGAGTTTAATTATTTATTATGATTTCTGTTTATATTGCAGGTTGCTAAAAAGGAGCTAGGCCTGTGTGAAGCTTAGTTCAATGGCATTTTAATCTGGGTAATAACACTAAAGAGCAAACATGGATACCCGTTTTCCACTGCTACAACTGAAGCACCAGGAGAGTAACTGATAATCTAACCTATCACAAGAGTGAGAGCAAAAATGGGAATAGAGCCGGCAAGAAAGACAAGCAACATAGTGAAAGCGGAAAGGTGATAGAGAAGAGACAGCACTGTTGCTCACATGTGAGGACGTGGAAAAGGAGAAAGCTTTTGTCCTCGGAGCAGCACATATGGAGAAACGAAACCATTGACTGGTCAAGGAGTGTGAAAGATCTCTATAGTTCTGAAAAGGGTAGGGGAGGCAAATGTGTTATTTGTCCTTCATGTGCCAGAAATCCATGAAGGGTCTCCAGTTTGGTTTGGGATTTTGCTCCAAAAGCTGATAAAGAAGGAAAAGAGGTATCTCATGTCAAACTCCTCCAAACTAACTCAAAAGGATGTTCTCTGTGATTTGGAGAGAGAAATGAAATGGAGACATGACTGTTGAAACAGTTGTTAATGCAACTCTTTTAAATCCAAAGCATGCTTGAATGAAGGCTCTGCATTTGATCACATTTAAGCGTCTAGAAGAATTTTTTGGCTTTACAAGTAAACCCAAAGAGCTTGTGGTGCTGTGGCTCAAGTAGTTTAAGTGAAATTGGAGGATTGCACTCTCGTGGGTTGTTTGCTTTTCTGTCTGAGCTTTGAGAAAAGCAAAGGCTGTTTTTAGTGATAGGCACCAGTGCCATTTTTAAAGGCAAATCTTTCTCCATGTGGTCAGCTGAGACCTGATGGTGAAATGAGCTCTTAGAATATTTTATCTCATATCTGAACTCCAAATGATAGATGGTAAAGCAAATTTGCTTTTCTTCTTCTATTCACTATTTCCTGAAAAAAGTTGAAATGTATTGTGAGGGTCTGCTGGGAGCTTTAAGTCCCCGACCGTGAAAGCTTTGATCACGTTCCGAGGGAGGTGGGGGACATGTGGGCCATGTTCCACGCCTCCATTGTCGCGGCGGCTTCCCGGAGCTACGGTCGCAGGGTTGTCGGTGCCAGTCGTGGCGGAAACCCTCGAACCTGCTGGTAGACACCGGCAGTGAGGGATGCTGCCAGGCTGATGAAGGAGTCCTATCTGACCTTTCTGGCCAGTGGGACTCCAGAGGCAGCCCATAGGTATCGGCAGTCCAAGCGGCATGCAGCTTGGGTGGTGCCTGAGGAAAAAACTTGGGCGTGGGAGGAGTTTGGGGAGGCCATGGAAAAAGACTTCTGTACGGTTTCAAGGCGATTCTGGTCCACCATCTGGCGGCTCAGGGGGGGAAGCAGTGCTCCACTAACACTGTTTACAGTGGGGATGGTGTGCTGTTGACCTCAACTTGTGGCGTTGTGGGTCGGTGGGCAGAGTACTTCAAAGACCTTCTCAATTCCACTAGCGCGTCTTCTATTGGAGGAGCAGAGCCTGGTGATCTTGGGTCAGGCTCTCCAATATCTGGGGCTGATCTCATCGAGGTTGTTAAAAAGCTCTAGCTCTGCTGTGGCAGGGCTCCGGGGGTGGATGAGACTCAGCCGAGGTTCTTGTAGGGTTGCGTTGCCAATATAGCGAGGACATCAGGAGCAGTTCTGTTGGATTGGTAGACTGGGGTGGTTGTCCCCTTATTTAAAAAGGGGGACCGTGGAGTATGCTCCAACTTCAGGGGAATCACACACTTAAACCTCCCTTTAAAGGTTCATGCAGCGGCTCTGGAAAGGATATGGTCAGATGATCAAATCTCGAATGCAGATGATGTGGTCCTATTGGTTTCATCAAGTCGTGATTTACAGCTCTTGCTGGAGCAGCCAAGTGTGAAACGGCTGGGATGAGGATCAGTGCCTCCAAGTCCCATGGTCCCTCACCGGAAAAGGGTAGAGTGCTTTCTCTGGGTCAGGAGGGATGTCCTTCCCCAAGTGGAGGAGTTCAAGTACCTAGGGGTTTCTTCTGCGAATAGGGGTAAAATAGAACGGGAGATCGACATGCGGATCAGTGCAGCGTCGGCAGGAATGCGGGTCGTGATAAAGAGAGAGCTAAACTTAAAAGCGAAGCTCTTGATTTATCGGTCGATCTACGCTCCTATCCTCAACTATGCTAATGAACTTTGGATAGTGACCGAAAGAACGAAATTGCAGATACAACTGGCCGAAATGAGTTTCCTCTGCAGGGTGGCTGGGTTCTCCCTTAGAGATAAGGTTAGAAACTCAGCCATCTGGGAGGGACTCAGAGTAGAACTTCTGCTCCTCCATGTTGAGAGGAGCCAGTTGAGGTGCCTTAGGCATCTGATTAGGATGCCGACTGGTCGCCTTCCTGGTAAGGTGTTCTGGGCTCGTCCCACCGGGAGGAGACCCGGGGTAAGTCCTAGGACACGCTGGAGGGACTATGTCTCCCAGCTGGCCACGGAACGCCTTTGGATCCTGAAGGAGCTGGCAGAAGTCGAAAGGAAGAGGGGAGTCTCGTTTCCCTGCTCAGGCTGCTGCCCCCATGACCTGACCCAAGATAAGCGGTGAATGATCGATGGATGGATGGAATTTGAAATTAATATAAGAAGAAAGAAAGCACCGGAATTGGCATAAGACTCAACTAAATAATATTTTTTATCCTTTGACAGAAGCTACATAAGCAAGCAGATAGGACAGTACTTCCAGAATTCAAGCCCAAATATAGTGCATCCAGACCATAAGGCTCTTCACGTACAGTTAGGGCACCTGATGAAACCAGGGAAGGGAGATGGCATTATTTTGCTTGAAATTTTGAGTTTGAGTTATCATTTTGGTTGTGTAGTACTTGAGAGAAAAACATAAAAAAAACAACTTTGTCTTTAGTTTCATTGGGCTTTAATGATATTTAAAGATTAAAATCTGGTTACAAACATGGAGGTCACTTGTCATGCTTAAGACCCTGCCATGGAAGATTGTCGTGATGTTAGCTGCCCATGAAAAGGGTACCGCTTATGTTTTTTCAATTATTTAAGTTGTAGAAAATAATGTAAAGCAGTGAAAATAGCATAGACTTCCTGTTTAGGCAAATAATCAATTTGTTGCATAACTTTGGTAGACATTAAAAAATCTTTGTGTCAGTGTTTTAGCAACCTGTGTCATTGGTTTGCATTTCACAAATACATTCCATTTATCCCTAAATACTTAATTTTTATCCATGTAATGAAAATTTGAGAAGTGTGACATGTTTAATCTATCTTATTTTAAATGTTGAATAAGTTTAACATATCATTTTTATGTTTTTCATGATGTTAGGCTTGACTAGATGTGCTCAGACTGATGGAGAAAAGCAACCACAACATTAAACAGAATTACTACTGAGCCGAAACGGATCACAAAATATATGCATTTGTCCTGAGCATGATTTTAGATTAATATCTTTGCCCTAATGGAGCTATCTTTAGATTATTTGATTGTAAAAATGTATTGTTTTTCATCAGAAATCACTGTTATATATATTTTCATTTGTGTATTTTGTCTAAATATAAAAATTGCCATGCAGTTTGATAAAATGTTGCCAAGAGATTATCGAAACATTCCTCACATATGTATTCCTGTCTTTTGCATGTCTCTTTAATTTTATTTAGTTTATTGCCATTTGTTACCACTGATAGTAGACACATTTTCATTTTGTGCATATGAAAATCTTTTAAAATCTTGAAAAATTAAAGTTTGTCTTTGTTTTTTCTCACTTTATGTAGTATCCGTGTTTGCATTGACATGGGGAGGCCCTAATCATACAGTATATTTGTTTTTTCCCTCAAAAAGGCAGTATTTCAGGCTCCTTTTATAAAGGCAAGACTAGTACTGATTTGTTAAGATTAAAAACTGGCACTTACAAGCTGACCTATAAGGTTCACTTTGCAGTACACACACATGCAGAGGCTCCAGGCAGATTGACACACTTTCTCCTCAGTTGCAGCCACTTGCAGCTGGAGTGGCTGTAGGGAAGCTGCACTGCCAGCAGATTGTATTCAGTTATGGGCAGTTAAATGCAGACAGATAGGTCTGGCACCCGGAGAAGGCATAAAGAGGGAAACAAGGAGCACCCACACTTGCATTACCAAGACAGAAATGGACTTGTGCCGGTCTGCGATAACTTCAGTCATCGAGATCAGTAGCTTTGTCTTCCATAGGTTTTGACTTTGTATTTTGTTGAGCCAGCAGAGGAACAACAGTGCTTATGCTTGTCAGGCTGCTGCAGCAGGCTGTATGTAGCACCTTACAGTGACCCCCCCCCCCACCCCCCTTCCAGAGAAAAAAAACGGGATTAAAGCATCTGGTTGTTTAGACTGAAAGACAGAAGAGCCTGACTGGGACAGGGGCAGTTGCAGTGACCGAAATGGGGTAAGTGATTCTATTCATTGAACAGGAAACAAACTCTTGAACTATACATTTTACATTGTGATATGCATAAAAATTAAGATTACTTAGGTTGAAGCTGTTCTGTTTCGACTGTAGAAAAGAAGTCCTGGTCGCTTTGTAAAATGTTTCCTCACCACAGAGAAAGGTAAGAACATTATATTATTATATATTATTAACAAGTATATTTTAGCTGCCGATCCATATGGTTTGTGTGTTCGGTTCTTTTTTTTGTCTTTTCATTTAACATTTGGAATTATGATGGTTGTTACCTGGATATCTTTATTTTAAAGTTGCACTAATCTTCGTAGTAGTGATGGGAATAAGTCCTCTTGCTGAAATCTGGCAAAGGGCAGCACGGTGGTGTGGTTAGCACTGTCACCTCACAGTAAAAAGCTTCAGGGGTTCCTGGTTCAAGTCCCTGTGAGACCAGGACCTTTCTGTGAGGAGTTTGCATCTTCTCCCTATATCTGCACGGGTTCTCTCCAGATACTCCGGCTTCCGCCTAACATGCATGTTAGGTGGACAATCCAAATTACCCCTAGGAGTGGAAGTGTGAGTGTGGTTGCCAGCCCCCATGACCCTGTCGGGAATAAGCAGTTTAGAAAATGGATGAATGGATGTATCAAATCCAACTCTTTGTTATAACAAACTTATGTTTGAAGAAGAACAGTTTTTCATGGTGTAAAAAAAAAAAAAATCTTACAGAATCTCATCATCCTCCCTGCTTCTGTCAACAGGGAGCAGCCAATCTTCAGCAGCCGTGCCCATGTTTTTCAGATTGATCCCAACACCAAGAGGAACTGGATACCTGCTAGCAAGCATGCGGTCACAGTGTCTTTTTTCTATGATGCCAACCGCAATGTCTATCGTATCATTAGCGTGGGTGGGACTAAAGTGAGTGATTTGAAAATAGAGAAAAGGACAATGTTTAAAATATGGCACCAAGCATGACCCACATTTCTCCCTCCCAGAAAGCAGTGTGGGGCACCAGTTGCACCCCAATCCTGCCAAGATTGATGTTGGGCTTCACCACTGCTTCTGTATTTATTAAATTTCTTCTGTTAGGTCAAGTACCTGCCAAGTGTAGAGCTAATGTGCTGATTTCCTGGAGGGGTCAGAATAAAGAAAAAAGCAGTGGGCTAAATTGCTGTTGTCATGCTGTTTTGGGATTTTAAATCTGTTATGTTATTTTAACACTGGAGAAGATCAAGTATGAATATGAATATGAACAAAGCAGGTAGCTTTGATTACTTCCCTTGCGATGATTTCATGAACCAGATTAACATCCAGTGATGGAGTATTTCCTGTGCTCTAAGAAGAATTAGGATTATTACATATTCATTATGGTGCCATTTCCTAAAAAACAAAGATGATTAAAAAGATTAAAAAGTAAAGAGAATTAAAAACATCTGATCGCCAAGAATCCAGGTGGACAGTCTATAGTAGCAATATGGAACACTTTTTCTTTTTAAATGTGAAAAAGTTATCTTTTCATTTACCAATTGCTAAATGCTGTGACATACCCTGTTGCTTTATGATGCATGAAAATGTCACTAATCTAAAATTCTGTATTTTCAGTTAGAAATTTTTACAACCTTTTTGTAGACCTGCTTAAGTTAATTATTTAATTGATTTTTTTCTTTTTTTTAATCTCCAGGCAATCATCAACTGCACTGTTACCCCCAGCATGACATTCACAAAAACATCCCAAAAGTTTGGTCAGTGGGCTGACAGCAGAGCCAACACAGTCTATGGTCTGGGCTTTGCCACTGAGCAGCAACTGCATCAGGTAATGTTAACTGAACTCAAAAAAGCCAAACATTTGAAGGCACCAAAAAAGAGAAGAAAAAACAAAATATAAGTACATAAAGAATACATTAAAGAGTGAGGTAGTCACTCTTCAAAACTTTCCAGGTACAAACTGAAGGCATCTGTAGGAAGATAATGTACTAAGACCTAAAACCAGTGCCCATAGGGCACAAAGGATCGATACCCCATTGTATGTAAGCACTTTGGGTGGTCAGTTTGATTTGAACAGTGCTAATAGGTACAAGTCCATTTACCATTTACAATTGTTTTGTCCAATTAAAACATGGAGAATCTACTCAATATTAGTGTCTTACTAAAAGGCACTTTTACTTGTCCTGTTCGCAAGCGTATATTTTTAAGAGCACTGTTCATGTTTTATAAACTCAGATGGCTTAAAACTTGTTCTCTTTTAAAAGTTTTCAGACAAATTCAAGGAGGTAAAGGATGCTGCTCGCCTGGCTAGGGAGAAATCACAAGACAAAGAACTAGTAAACACTGCTCTCACCATTGCTGCTCCTCAGGTGAGCTCTCAACAAAACACTGTTTTCATGTTCCTACAATTATACTTATTTTGTTTTAGATGAGATTGTGTCGAAAATTGGATTAAAGTACCTGTATGATTTTAGATATGAAACAAATTAATGCTAAAAGTATATCTTTTAGCATTCATTTGTTTCGTATCATTAACTAACATTAAAAAAGATGGATAGAGAGAGAGGAAAGAGAAGCAGAAGAAATCTGAGCTAGGTCATTTGTCTCAGAGGCAAGTGAAAATGAGGAAAAGTAGGACAATGATAAAATTATCTCATGCTACCCAGAAGTACACTACTTTCTTATTTTCTACCCACATCTGGCTCAGCTTTAACACTAATGGGAATAAAGGTTAGATATACAGTATTTCACGTGACAAAAATGTTGTTGAGAATGTAATATTATGAAAAGATATGGATATATTACATTTTAATTGCATATTTCTTTTTTTTTCTCCTCATCATTGATTTTGCCTATAGTTTTCACAGGTGAGTCTTTCGTTGGCTTAGCTGCAAAAACTGAAAGAAATCTAAAGAAAAATAGATACATGTGCTCATAGTGAGTAATGTGCTCTCTACTTTCACTTTTGCTTAGAACATTATGGCATATGTGATAGTACTAGTCCATCAGTAACTTGGAAAGAGATGAAAAATCCATGAAAAAAAAAAATTCTATTCTTTATTTAGCTCTGATGCCAGATACAGTTTTTCTACTGTTTTAATAATCAATTTATTGTTGTTTGTTGGTATCAGGAGAGTCCATTTACTTATGTCTTCCTCAGGACCTCTCGGATGAACTCCAGTCTCCACCTATGATGTGCATTAACGGACCAGAAGACAAGCTGTTCCGAAGCCAGAGTGCAGACATCACTCTGTCCTCTGAGAAGGAGCGCATTAAGAAGATGCTTTCTGAGGGGTGGGTCGAGCACTTAGAAAAAAAAAAGCTTGAAACAAGAAGATTTGATATTTAGCTCAAATAATATATTTACAAACATTTTTAGGTCAGTTCCTAATTCCACACACACAAAAGATTGCCATCTGCGTTTTTTGGCTTTTTGGGGGGACAATGTTGCTTAGTTTCACTTGATATCACTCACTTATTACAAGTAATCTTATGTGATATTCTCTATGCTTCTCAAATATCAACATGGTATAGATTTCTTAGAATAATTCAAATCTGATATACCTAATTAGATTGCCTGACCCTCAAGGAAACTAGACAGATGTGAGATGAGATGCAGCATCATACCTCACAATGAAGGCTCAGCAGCACCTCTCCATTTGATTATATCATGCACACTGGCTTTATTGTTATTATAGTATTGACTGGCTCCTTAATAATTTCCATTGTAAATAGTTCCAGGGGAACAATTAGAAAGTTCTCAACATTTAGAGAAATTGGATGTGATTTAATTGTTTGATGTTGATTATATTGTCTGTTAAGTGTTTTGAACCCAGAGTAAAGTTGTTGTTTTTTTGGCCACGCATACAGCTAGTGTTCAATATTTTAGGACTAAAATTCTATGCACAGCTTTCCGTGGTGACATTCTGATTTTGAAGTGACAATGTGTATGGTAGAATTACAATAAAATTGTACACAAATACAATAGACTGCTTTACAAATCTTTGTTTGCACTATTTGGTCAGTAACCAACTTATTTCTTTTATTTAGCGTGCCAGAGAATTTCACCAAAGGACACTGAAGTGCACTCATTTTACACAATACCTGTAATATGTTGATAATTATGGTTGATTATCTTATTCAAACAGAATACGTTAACATGTTTTGCATACTAGTAATTGTAAACTGAGTTGATGATCCCTTTTTTATCAATATGTCAGTTAATATATGGAATTATAAGTACTAGATTTTCACTCCAGAAAATAGATTGCAAGCCAAGAAGAAGTTATAAGAAATTCCAAGCAGAATAGTTTTGGTTCTGTGTACAGTTTACATAATCAAATCGGAGTGCATCTTTTCATTGCCTCCGCTCAGCTCCATAAACTCCATCCAATAAACTCCAATCAGCTCCATACACTGCATGTTTTGTACGTATGTAAAAAATAATAAGATAAAAATCAAGGTTCCACTAAATTATATTTACCTAGCTTACATATCAATTATTATTAAATATTTTGGTCAATCTCAATATTCTTGTCTATGTTAGCTCTCCATTTAAAAAACGTCACTGGTATTTGGGTCTTTCAGATCTGTTTGTGAGATTAATCTGGAAGCTGAGCTCTTCACTCTCCAGGACAGCAACTCGAAGTTGGTGGCAGCTTTGCATGAAGCTAATGCTAATGTGGAGCAATGGAAAAAACAGCTGTTAGCATATCAGGAGGAAACCGAAAGACTCAGAGAGCAGGTAAGCTGACATTATTTTGGGTGTCTTCTCTTTTAACCTGTTAACCATGGAGTCTGATTTAATCAGAATTTGAATTAGTATTTATTCTGTATGCATATGATGCTTAAAATATGCTAAATAAGTTTTTTAATCATATTATTTTTTAGACTGCAAGTGATGTAGATGGCTCTGTCCTTCCTTTCCCTACTTATCATTACTTATAGTACTTTAACTGCTTCACATGAAACAACCTCTCAGTATACTGACAGTTACAAACATAGCTGATCCTTTTTCCATTTTGTTACAGTGTTGATTACTTCAATTTAATTGTTTTGCTCTTGTCAGGTATTTTCACACTTTCAACTATTTTAGAGTAAGACAATAAATAAAATTGCGGTTTTGACCAAGCTAATTTCCTCCATCTGAAGAAGGGGACAGGTAGCTGAAAATGGCTCAAGTCTCTTGGGAGATGTGAGAGGAAGAAAGGTTTATAGGACAGCAATATCCTACTTTCAGTGTCCCAGTTAAGAAAAAAGGAAAAATCACTAGAGGCATATCTTTCGTTGACTGTGACCTAAAGTTGTGTGCAATTTAGGATGCTATTTAAATCACTGTTATGTTACCAGATTCCTACAGACAAACAAAAAGGGGTCACTGATCCATTTTGAGAAAATTGTGACTGTTAAACCTTAATTCTGCTCCATTCGGATTTTTATTTTATAATGCATACACTGTGAAGTTTATGAAAAATAATAAACTAAACATGCTGTATATAGCTTTCACCATCCCTTTGACCTTGTAAAATCTGTTGGTTATCTTGCATTTTGGGGTGGTGGGTGGTGGTTGGGTGGGGGCATGTGCCTATCCCAGCTGACATTGGGCAAGATATGATAGAATAGAAATAAAAAAATACTCCATTGGGAGAAATTCAAATTCTATAGTAGCTTAACTGTCAATATTGACATTGATTTATTAATAAATCCTGTTCTTCCAACAGCCTTGTGGCTATTGAAAGAAATGACCTTGAGAACCGATCACTTCTGCAGCACAGTGAGATGAGCATCTCACTACAACTGCTCCCCTGAACTGGCTGTGGATGGGATACCTATTATTCTTGAATACAGAAATTAGCTTCCTCCTCATCTGTACTCCTCCCCAGTTCTGAGGGGGTCCATACTCCTGATTAACACCTAACTAGCTTTTTTACTGATTTGTACAGTCCCCTACAGTTTTTGTATGCTATACCACACTAACCCAGCAGACAACAGGATAGAACAATGGACTGTCAATGACAGTGTGATAAAACATGGAAGCCATGTCACTGCAGACACTGAAAGACCTGTAGTAAGAAGAGATGACAGAGACAGTCTTTCTTGGTCCAGTCACAGAAAGTCTAAACAAGGTCACAGTACTCCCCCTTCCAGTCCATCGTGTACACATGCCAAAACAGCTGGGTGAAAAGGATAGTAGCTATGACAGTAACTCCCAATTCTGACATACTGTGGTCTGGCAGTCATATAGACGGTAATCCCTGATAACTGGAAGGAAGCCACCCTTCCTGCAAAAGTATTGTATTGTATTCATATATCCAAGACATTATATTTGTTTGCTGGTGTTGATCTAAATTTAATTCAGCAAAGCTTTTGTGTACAGTTACTCTTGTGTAAAACGTGATTGAATTGGATGTATTTTGTGAGGTGGCTGAATTAGAGGCACATGGAAGTCAAGGGCCCAGTGATTTGTTGAAGGATGAGCTGACACAGTCCTTGGAGGAGCTGGAGGCTTTATTAAAGGCCAAAGATGAGGTCGGCAAATGTCTTCATTTATGGTCACATATAACAGAAACTGAATTCTATGTATGAGATAACAGTAAAACATAATGTATAAGCACAACATATCAAAATGCACATGTGATGGGTTCCTATGATTTCCTTTTCAGGAAATTCACATTTTGCAAAGCAAGAAAGCAGAATACCATGAAATGGAACATGAAAGAGAGGAGGCCATCCACAGATTAAGGGTATGAGTTATTCATTACAGGTATCACATTACTGAGAAAAATTACAGTGAGGCAAGGCAGTAACTTGTTGAATATTGATTAAAAAAAAGATCTTCAGAAAATTATAGTAGGTACCTTATGTCACCTGATCATGTTAAAAAAGCATCTACTCTGGTATTAAGAATTACCTGGACATTTTAATATTTATGTAATGCTGGGTAATTACAATCAAGTCTTACATTTTATTTCCTAGGATACCTATAGTGTATTTTTAAGTAAAAGTTGTGCAGTCATCACAGTGTTACTTATTGTTTCGTTGTGACTGGTCCCTTTATTTTTGTGTTATGATAAGTAGATTTGTATGCATGTTTTTGAGTAAATTGAAGAAAGTGTTTAAGTTTAAACTTCCAGTTATGGACCATAAAATTAAAATGAAGCAAAGCAGTAGGTAGCAGTTTACATTATGGTAACAAGTTGATCAAGCAATAGCATGATAAATAGGTATTTAAAAAACTCTCGGTAATAACAGACTGGAACTGAAATTTAGCTTGCAGCAGTATTAGGGACTATATTTATAAATAGCAAAGCAAAGCTACCTGGTTGCATGTTAAAACTGAAGAAGTAATATGAGCTTTTATAAGCCCCGAAAGCCATACATCCCTCTTAATGTGTTAATATGTTCTCACTACATATTCAGTTAATCAGTTGACAATATAATGCATTGTATTTATAGTTTTACTAAAAGTTTAACTAAAGAACACAAAATTATATTTAGCTTTAGTTACCTAGCTAGACACTGTGCACAGAGAAAACTAGAAAATTAACATCAAGAAAACAGATGCACATAAATTGTACTTATCTTTACACAGTTCTTTAAGAACAATTGTGCACATGCACATGTTAGGATATAAGATACAATGTTGAGATATACAGTATAATGCCTTATTGCTGTAATAATACTAACAATTATTTAGGAGTGAATAAAACTGGAGAGCTATAATTTCTCCTTATAGGTCTCAACTCTGACTGCAGCCTTTTTGATTACCTGGAAAGAATTTCTGGGGCAACCCAATAATTAAAAATGACAGTAGCCACTACTATAAACCTGCTTTGTGAAATGAGAGACATTTGTCCAAATTAATTACAGGTTTCCTGATGTATTTGAAGCAAAATAAACACACAAACAAACAAATGCCATCTATAGTAAGTATATTGCTCAGCAATGTTGTGGAAAGGATTTGGGCTTGAAGCCATATGGGTGACATCAACAAGTCATTGATTTTAACTACATACATATTGGGGCCATCTCCATCTGAATGGGTTGTCTATTGGTATAATGATTCTAAGAAAAACATCAAAACTACATCAGAAATGCCTAAAAATAAAAGCTTCTTGCGGGTCCCTCAAAAAGCCAAGACTTGATGTTTTGGCTGGGTGTATGGATCACTGTAACAGTGCTGCTAAAAAATGAAATGCCTGCAAACCTCAAATAACTCAATCAATGCTGTGAGCAGAAATGGAAGGAAAAATCATTTATTTTGCTGTTTATTCCATTAAAAAACAATGACAAGTTGCTTGAAATATTGTGTATGTATGCATTTTGACATATTCATTTATCATTTATTGTATTCAATAATGATAATTTAAGTAGCATTTAAGTCATTCTCGACTTTTTTAAAGGGAATTTACACTTTTTTTAATCACATCTTCATAACTATCTGCTTTCAACAAATTATAGTATAACAAAGAATTTATTTTAGCATTACTCATTATAGTAACATGGTCTCAGCATTTTAAGCTTTCCAAACTATTTGTGTACATGTCTCGTGTCCACTGCAGGAGATGGAGATGCGGAACTCTGAGCTGGAACGTCGCATCCAGAACACAGAGCAAAACTTAAGTAATTCTCTGGAGGAACGAGATCGTATGGATACTGAAATCCACAGGGCAATAGAAATTCTAGACATCAAGATCTTTGACCTCAATGACCTCCGCCAAAGCCTTGTTAAACTTATTGACAAGTAAAAATGGATATAACCTTTTTTTTAATTTAGCTCAATATTCAAACACGAAAGAAAGGGTTCAATTTGCTTTGAACCCATACTCATACTGGCAAAATGAGCTGGTGTGTGCAAGAGGGATGTTCCTTAGTGGTGTTGAACAGTGAGTATGTTGCAGCGTGCTAGTGCCAACCTAAGCAACCTAGTTCTGTCCAGTCTGATGCAATGCTTAATGTTGCTTTGAAAAGTCACATTCAAAGCAATAAACCACCCTTTAAGGCAAGCGCTTGAAGTGCTAGACATTTTAACCAGTGCTTTTTGATTTTCATGATTCTTACTTTTCTTCAAAATGGCAGGGGGAAAGATGCAGTAAAAACTTCATTTAAAAAATAGCTTATTTCGTATCCTTCATAATGCTTAATGAATACTGAAGAAACACTCAGCTTAATTTGTTAATTAAGTAATTATATAAAGATGTTGAGGACATTTGTTTTCAGAAGTTTGCCAACATAGCAATATTTATCCACTCTCTATATCACTTATTCCCTGTGGGGTCGCAGGGGTGCTGGAGCTTATTCCAGCTGACAAAGGGCAAGAGGTGGGGTACACCCTGCAAAGATTGCCACTCAATCCCAGGGCCACATAAACAAACAGCCAAACTCACATTAATTGTGGGTAAATTAGAGCATTCAATTGACCTAATATGCGTGTTTTTGGACAATGGAAGGAATCCGGCGCACAAGAAGGGAACCCATGCAGACACAGGGAGAACATCCAGCCTCGACACAAAAAGGCCCCATGTCCTTTGGGGATTCGAACCAGGTGCATACCACCACACCACCGTGCGATCCATAAGTAATAACAGTTATTTAATTACAGAAAAAACGGTGTGGTGGCAATGATTAATACGAGGCTAATTTAACGATGAATCCATCCATCCATCCATTTTCTGTACCACTTATTCGTAAATGGGGACACGGGGGGACTGTAGCCTATCCAGGTTTACAATGGGCGAGAAGCAGGGTACACCCTGGACAGTCTGCCATTCCATGGCAAAGGCTATTGAACAAACAATAGATTTTAGTTTTGACACCAAAGATCAGAAGCTAAAAACAAACTTTATAACCTATTATTAATAATTAGCTTGTCTATTTTTAGCATGTTCAATGAGGTAAGAATTTATCCAGTATTCTCTTGTAGGCTATTGATACCCTAAATATAGTCTAAGTCAAGTTAAAGTGGGAGAACTGTCTCCCAATCCATACCATTTAATAATTCTAAGATCTGAAGATGTTATTGCATGACAAAACCCATGCCTTAGTGTTACTGATTGCTTTAAGTAGCTTTCAGGCAGGCCCATTCGATGTAATTGTTTAGTGCAATAAGTCACAACAAAAACTGCTTATATAGTAAGCCTAGAATTAAGTGTCACATTTTTAAAAACACGGTGTGATGATGAAAATCTTTTTTTGCATTTATTTAGTTTTACTTTTAGCTGTGAATTACATACAGCTGTGATTATATATATGAAAGTGCACCTGTAATTTATGGATCACAAATTCATTAAAGAAAAAAATCATCACATGTGTGAGTTTACTCACACAAACTGTATTTGTTTGACATGGCATCAGAAGAAAGTTGTGCATGTTTTTTTTCCTTCTAAGACCACTATCTTTCAAAGGATGGTTTTGATAAAAAAATGACAGCTCAGTGTTTGAAACTTTGAGTTGTTGTCAAGGTGCAATTAAAGAAGATAAAACAAAGTTTCTGCAATACTGTTTGAAGTGTGTGTGTGCCTGTGTCCCTGGAGTAATTTAAATTATAAATATATGCATGATGTATTACACAACTATTTCAGATCAAACTAGAACCAAGCTCATATATCAAACAGAGAGAAAACATTTTTTACCCTCAAAACAGATTTTAATTAGACATGTCAAGTAGTGCGTTTCAAAACATATGTATGTTCCTTCGTGTCTGACAGCAAAATACTGATTTAACACAGCTGTACTGTTGCAACTTTACCAACACTCAAGTAGGAGACCAAAATGTACTTTTAGCTCTCTGCCATTAACAGAAAGTTCCCATCTGCAGTTAACTAGCTCACTTCAGACAGATACAGGTTAATATAACTCTCATACACCGTTATCCAATGCTCTATTAGAACAAGAATATCAAACGACGATTAGTTGATCATCTCTTTAGAAAATTACATTAAATCAAGAGGTCAGGATTGACAAAATCAGCCTCAGATATTTGATTTTTGGTGAGAAGTGTGAATTTCCCAATTCATTTTTGTTCAACATACGAATCATCAATTGGTACTTACACAACTCTGGTACAAGTGATTGTGAAGTGGTTTGTGCCAATCACTCACACCCATCAACCATTTAAACATCCATTCCCAATGATCCATTTAAATACATTTATCAAACATATCTCAAACAGGCATATATAAACATATGCGAGAAGGTAACTTCAATATAGTTTTGTCACATCTACCCACTTTCAATTGGCCGCTTCATTGTTTAACAATACCTCAGCTACTTCAGCTGACTTGCAACTCAAAAAAGGGAACAAGCAAAACACAAACAAACACATACATCATTTGGTACCACATTCCAATGTTACCAACATGAATTACGACCAGGTGTTCTGACAGCATACCCCGACAGACCAGCCTACCCATAGTCAATACGCATGACGTCATTTTCGTACGGGGTATGCTAGTATGCTAGTCTGGCAGTAGGGGTGTCAGATCAGAATAGCCCATCTGACCAGCATACCCATAGTTAATACGCATGCACTACCTTTAGCAGAAATCTAAGAGATTAACATTGACGAAGTTTACTAGACTACTTTATGCATCATATGATAAACAAAAGGTTGTAGTTTAAGGTAAACACACAAACTTACCAGAAAACCACGCCAAAAGTCAAGTACTTTTCTTTATTTATGGGTGATGTAATAAACAAAACGTTTTAGGTAAACTGAATTTAGTAGCGGGCTGGGTATACTCATCTGACAGGCTAGTTATGACGATCTGATCAGATCAGCCCGTCAGATCAGCACACCTAGCCCGCCAGCGCATCACACCTAGCCTGTCAGATCAGCACACCTAGCCCACCAGCGCATCATACCTAGCCCGTCAGATCAGCACACCTAGCCCGCCAGATCATCATACCTAGCCCGTCAGCATACACTTTGATAAGATGAATTTGCCATTTCGAAATGTACGAACAGGTATTTGGATTTTGGCTACACACCAGGTGATTGCTTAGGGGTGTGGTCTTACCTTATTTAACAGATAGGCTGTACCCAACAGATAGGCCTACAGGTGAGAGTTTTTTGCAACTTTTTATTTTGACTGTCATCTCTTAATCGCTGTCATTCTAGATAATTATTTTGAATGTCATTTCACAGATCTGAAAAGTTATGCATCTGTGTGATTGAACCAAAGTTTGTCATACGGCTTAAAATAAATACCCAAATGCCAATGGAACTTATCTGGTTTATTAGAAATAATTCACTGTACAAAACCTACTCTACTTTAAATAAAATTAATTTAGCTGACACTTGTTACATTTGAATATGTCAGAAAAGTGGGGGGCACATTCATTGTGTGTCCACCTTGGACAGAAGTCACACTGTATCTGCAAGGTAGAAAGAAAAAAGAAAGTAAAATGAGTTAAAAGTGTACTGCATAGAAACTATTAAATTCTACAGTAGGATTTTTACCATACAAGTGACTTTCTGGTTCCCATCATGGTCCAGCATGTTGCAGGAGACGCAGTAGTCTTCCACCTTGTCTGGTAAATAAAGTAAATTAAGCATTTACTATCTATGTTGCCATTTCAAATTTAGAATTTTCTCTAATAGTAAAACTAAAACAACAAATGTGGAACTTTGGAGCTTAAGCTTATTGCTAAGAATTTGGCAACATACCCATTTCTGTACGTCTGAAGTCATACCAGGCCAAAAAAAATAAAAATAAATCGGGAACACATGGACCTCCGGGTTTTCACGATTCCAGTGTGTCCTCCCATGGGTAAAACGTGGAACTGCTTGAAAAGGTCCCAAGCCTCCTCTTTGGTTTTTATTGCCTGCCTGCGAGGTAAGGCTCCAAAGAAGAGGTTTCCAGCTTCACAGAAAAACATTTATTATATCATTATCACAGAAAATGTTGTGTCTGTTTAAAATATCAAAGCCTTACCATGGATGCTGAATTTAGAGGCAAATCTCCTCAGTGATTGCCTTTGCCCTTTGTTAAATCCCAGAGGATAGGAACCTTCAGACAGAAAGTTGAAGATCTCCTCCTACCTGCTCTCCATGTTTGCTATAAAACTCTGGTTTATTCTCAGGTTTCCAATTAAAGAATCGGGTTAACAAATGCGGCGAAACAGTGGGTAGCCATACCTGTCGACCAAAAAACCAGGGACCCGGGAGTGACGCACCCATGGCTCGGATGCAAAAAGAACGCGTCAATAAGGGACGGTGGCTCTTATACGGCCCACGTAATTACTGCCACCTGGCACTAATGAGACAACGCCTCTCTGCTGCTACATAATCATCCTCCATTTTGGGATATTTATCCCTAAAAGAATGAATGGAATTAAGAGAGATTATGGGTATCCTGTCTTAACTGAAAATGAAAATGTTGCATTGACAGATGAAGAAAAAGCAGAGATGATGGTTAAGAAATTTATTAAGGTTCATAGCTCTAGTAATATAAGTGAAAAAGGGAAAAAAGGAAGGGAAACTACAATAGCTCAGAATGGAGAATTGCTAATAGAGGGTGAGGTTGCAACTGATTTAATAAATATACCATTTACAAAGGCAGAACTGAATCGTGCTCTTTAGAAAACTAAGTTGACATCACCTGGGAAAGATCAGATATGTTATGTCATGTTAAACCATCTTAGTGATTCTTCAAAAGATATTTTACTTGAGCTATATAATAAGGTTTGGAAAAAAGGAAAGTTACCACAAATCTGGAAAGAAGCTGTTGTAGTTCCGATATATAAA